GGCTGTTTTTTCCAGGCTGTGGGGGCTTACCACATTTTCATCCTTAAACACTAGAAAATGCTGCTTTTAATAACAATGTAAATGATGGAACTATGAAGGTGCTGATGACCTATGGTCAGAGAGAGAAGTAATGAAGTGGTGAGAAGGAAAGACAGGCTGGGGGAACACACAGCTTCATTCCACATGGATGAGGAGTCAAGAGAGACGGTCTAAAGATGATCGAACAAGAAGCAAGGTTGTAATGATACTATTTCAAGTTAAATGCATAACCAAGAATAGAACATAAGAGTCTCCCTATCAAACATTGGTTAGGGAGGTAGAGTGAAAGGTAAAGGGTAATATAAGAAAGTGAATTCCTCATTTTTAAAGAGGTAGTTGGTAGAAATCATCCAAAGTTGGTAAGTGAAAAAATGATATTATTTAGAATTAAGGGTAGAACCACCAGGAAAACTAGAAGCAGAAACTGGTGAAAGAGGTTGTCCCTCGGAATTGGGACAGAGGGTGGGGAATTGTAGGACAGGAGATGGTTGCTTTTTGTTCTAAGTTCTTTGATGGAATTTACATTTAAAAAAATACATGCCGGTATTTGTTAGATTAAAAGCAATGAAGCTATGAACTTGGCCCCAAACTGATAAACAAAAGTTGGAATTACTGAGTTCCAATTGTAATTCTGACTAGCATCCGTGATTTTGGGCAAGCTATTTGGAGTCTGTAAACTCATCTTCCTTTCTTAGAAAAGGGATGATGATAACAATAGTAAATTCTCATAGGTTGTTTTGGGAAATAGATGTGATAATTAGGCGTAAAGATCATTTAGCATAGTACCTGGCATATTTGCATGAATAAATGTTAGGCATTATAATGTCATTGTAATCATACAGACTGGAGACCAAATTCCAGATGAACGACTTAGGAGCAGCCGGCCTGAGTTGACTCATTCCCCTGCCCATAAAGACTTGAGAATGGCATGGTCACACTGGTTAAAGTCTGGCATCTTGAATAATTCATCTCTCGGGTGAATTATTCAGTCTGACCTGATCTTGAAGTCATAAGTTAACTTTATAATGAGTGCAATGAGTAAAGTCATACTGCCCCCAAAAACTGACCGGTGCGCTTAGCACTGATAAAATCCTGACCTGGACAGGCCAGTACATCATAATTATTGGTTTCCAGCTCCAGAGCAACTCAGCATAGCAACACAAAAATATATCTATAGAGTGAGCCTGGGCAAGGGCAGAGAGAACCAGAAGCTGCCCATGTGGACTTCGATGGCGTATGTCAGGGCTGAGGTCGGGGAAGCGTTTCAAGTCTGTGTTGCAAGTGTCTGCATTGCAAGTGCCTGCAAGTGTCATAGCAGGCAGACCCTCAGGTGGTCCCCGCAGTTCCTGGCCCCTGGTGGTCATGCCCTGAACAGCCTTGTCCCCGTGAGTGTGGGCAGGACCTGTGACATGGTTCTAACCAACAGAATATGGCCATGGGGAAGGAATTTGGATGATCTCTTTAAGGTCCCAAATCAGTGAATTTTGAGTTCATCAAAAGGGAGATTATCCTGGGTAGGCCTGGCTGGATCACGTGAAATCCCATAAGAAGGGGAGGGACTGGGCCCTCTCTGAGGTTTAATAACAATGCAAACGGTGTACATGTGCAGGTGCCTGATAACATAGCAGCCCTGTGGGAGATGGCCCTGTGGCGGGATCTGTGGTCAGCCCTGACGACATGAGGGCAGTCACATAACATTTCATAGGAACAGAAGATCGGAAGAGGGAACTGGCCAGCCAGGATGAAAGTGGCACAGAGAAACAAAGAGCAATAATACTGGAAGTGAAATGAAAATCCAATGGGAATGGAGTCCTAGCAAAAAGCTGACTGTGGACCTGCGGACATGGTCCTCCTCTGAGATGTGCCAGAGGGCAGGGAAGGCGAATGTAGTGACTTCAGTCAAGATGGTGGCTGGGAGGAAAAGGGCGAAGCTGTCCCAGAGGAGGTAACACTGGAAGAAAAAGACACTGATGTGGAAGGAACTCTGGGAGAGATTTCATGACATTGAAAGCACTCATGATAAAATGTTGGAGGCTTATCCAAATTTAGACAAGACTATGACAATTCGCCAGCACACAGACAAGATGCTCACTCCATATTGTAAGTTCTATGATGAATCAAAGAAGGCGAGCACTGTTCAAACGACTCTTTCCAAGGTTGCATTGTACAAAGAAGACCCACCTTAACTCTCTAAATTTCGGATGCTTTGAATTACTGTATCTTCAATAAACATTTGAGTGTATTTTGTCATGTCCCTCTGTGTTTGTCACTGAAGAGCAATGTTTTGAAATGTAGATCATGGCACAATTGTCATTTGTGTTCACTGATTATTAAGATCGCATGCAGTGTTGGCTGGCACAGTCATCTGTAGAGTCGTGTGCCACCACGCACAGGGAACTTGGCCTGTAAAGCTGACTCACTCCGAGCCCCTTCCTTGCTTCAACGACACAGATCACCCATTCCACAACGGGAGTGCCATGTTTGGCAGGACTGCGTCAGTTACGTTTTCTATGGTACCCGGCCTTAAGCACCTAGCACAACGTTTGCCCGGATTACGGAGTTGTTAATAGCTATTTGAATGAATGAGGAGACATATCCGGCCTCTTTAAGTGGATGACAGAAAAGGATCATTTAGTGGAAGGGCAACATGTACAAAGGGTTTACTAATCAAAATGAAAAGAGCAGAAACATGACTTGGTTGGATGTTACCAAGAAGGCTGGGCTTCCTGAATCCCAAAGCTAATTCCGCTAATTCATTCCTAACGTTGTGGATGACAAGACCACAAATGGCACAGAAGTGTGGTCCAAACCGTGGAGTGGAAAATGAGAATTAACAGGTACAATGGAAAAAAGAAACAACCCTCAATGCTTTGGAACGACTGTGTAACAGAACATTGAGATGCAGTTATAAACGTGGAGGGAAGATTAGAACCAGTTCAGCGGAAGGCGGCAGGTTAATTTCAAGTTGAATGGTGAAATAAGCTACTTGGGAGAAGCTACTGGGGTATCTACTTCTCTCAGAGATGCGGGATTGAACTCGTCCCGTTATTCTGTGCGGCAGAAGTATTTGACAAAGACATGAATTGTTCTTCCATAGCTTTTCTACGTATAGAGTTTGAACGTAAAGACTGAGAGTGGTAGGCCAGGGAATAGGTGAAATAACTAAAAAGTATCCAACATCTGTGGTTCAGGTTGTTATGAAGGGGAATTCAGTTTAAAAGGGAAGATTTTGACTCTGATCTTTCCAAGCTGAGAAACTGTTTCTGCAATCTGATTTAAAGGAAGATTTGGAATTGTTATAAAGAGAAAGCTTTATCATCATTTTTGGGCTGCCAGAGGGTAAACTAGCTGAAATTCCTAAAGCCAAACTGAAAACTAGTCTCACAGACAGACACACACAACTATCTATTCAAACACCTCCCCTACATGTCTCTGTACCCACACCTCTACACACACACACACACACACACACACACACACACACACACACACCCCTGCGAACTCGACCACTTTCCAAGAAGACACAAAATCAGGGCAAAGAGAAGCAATGTGATATCCTTGCATTTGATCCCTGTGCAGATTTCTAAATGTTTGCAACTTCTAGGAATCACCTAAACATAGTTGACTATAGCTGATTTTGCTTTTTTCCCATTTTAAAGACAATTAATACAACGATGAATGGTGGTAACCAATGACAGCACACTTCTCCCAAACCCAGAATAATCCAGGTGGAATGGAGTGACATCCTGAGTGGTTCAGAATTCACATTGAGAAAAATAACTGGCATTTAGAAATGTATGTAACAGAGCCATAAACAAATGAAGAGTGTCTTTCCTAAGATAAGTCATAATGAAAGAGGAAATTCAGAGCAAAAGGAATTGATCCACTGTAGTGCTGCTGTAGCTGGGCATTTCATTATTGTGTCTTTCTTCTCTGGAAAAATAATTTATTTTGTGATTAGACTAATTCCAGGTCTGCCTAGGAGTCTGCGTTCGTGTTAGCGTCTGAGGCAATTGCATTAGTTGTCGGAACGACTATAAGCCTAATGCTGTGGCGGCCATTCATTTGAGCATTGTTTTTCTGCGTGTCAATCATATTCCTCCTAGCCAATTCTCTTACATAAAATCTGGTGCAGCTGAGCCTCCAACGGAAGGGCAAATGTGGTCAGAACAACTTGCTAAGTCAAAAGTTCAAGTCATGAGCACATACAACAATAATAACATCAGTATAGATAAAGTTGAAAGCAGACGCCCTAAATTGTTGATAACGACAATCTTTGGCCTTGGGTTTGTAGGAATTTCCACCTTGTTCATGATTTATTTCTGTATTATTTACTTGATAATATTAGGGAATTACGAAGTTTTAAAAGCGTGAAAACGGCATTGTGATTATGTTGAAAAGTTCTTATCTCTAGGAGGTTCTTCCTGAAATATTCATGGATTAGATGCTACGAGGTCTGAGGTTTGCTAATACACACAGTGTGGAAGGAGATGTGTAGAAAGAGAGAAAATGCTAGACATGAATTGGCATGTGATGAGTACGTGTTGATTCTGTTCTATCATCATGTCCATTTTTGTGCACACTTTAAAGTTTTATGATAGAAATAAAATAATTTAATAAAAATGTTATGAGACGCTTGGAAAATTAGGTTGGGGAGTAAAGGTAAAGAACCTCGAGCACAAGGCATTTTTCTTCCCTAGTTCAGTGGTCTCCAAACTTTAGTAAATGAAACCCTACCTGCGACACTCTTTTTGCATACACGCACCAGGCATATGCTTGTTAATTAATTTATTTATTTAAAATGATGTACATATAGCACTGTACTATTATGCCATTATAAAACATACGCAAACATAAAAAAGGTCAGATAAAAATAAACACAAGTATCATTCTAATGTTCTTCCTAGACTCCAGTGGATGTGGGCCCCACTGAGGAACCCCACGTTTAGTGAATGGGCGGCCCTTCAGGTTTTCTAAGTAGCAAAGAGTTTGTTTATAAGAAACAGAAACTTATTGGAGCACCCATAATGGGACATTGATTAGAAAGACCCAGAAGTATTTCACTGAGGCCTCTTGAACTGAAATGGACGAAGAAGCTGTTCCAACCGGATGTGTGATTTGAACAAGGATCATCACTTCCTTGTATGTTTCTCTTATACATATGCAATACACATAATGTATTCTGCACATAGAGTCAGGATACAATATGCATATAAAACAAACATCCCCACATATTATCTTGGGCAATATAGTTAACACAATGATTAGGATGATAATAATATCTAACATTAATTACTTAATCTGCCAGGTGTTATAGTAAGAACTTTACATACATCATTTGACTTAGAACTCATGACAACCCTATGAGACACAGAAAAAAATCCACTGGCTTTCCCAAGACAAAAGCACTAGAAAATGGCAGAGTCCAAACTGAAATCAAGAGGTTTCTGACCTCGACCCCCATGTCCTCAATGACTAAATCATGTTGCCTCCATAGGGAATTAACGGCAGTGTCCAAACCATAAGATTGTTGTGATGACTGAATGAGATCATAGATGAGATATGTTTTTAGCACATTGGCTGACATAGAACACACATCCTGTTAATGTTAGTATTTTAGTACAGAGAATATTTACCAAAAATGTCCACAGTAAACAGCATTAATAGTTCTCAATATCAAACACCAATATTTATCATTGTAATAAAATAATGTTTTATCATTTAAACATTATTTTAAATAACACATGTCTAAACGCCTTTTGTATGCTACCATCTACAACTACATGTGACTTTTGTTACGGAGTCTCTGTGGAATGACTGATGAGACATCGTGATTGTAGACTGCGTTATTCCTCCTGCCCAGCAGGCTACAAAAATGGAAATATTTGTACTTGGCACACGGCTGTCATATTTTAAGGAGCCACGTACATTAATAGGAGTGCGTGTAGCCTGAGCACTAAATGACCCATGAAGTATATATGTACATGTCAATTTTATTTTACAATTGCAGAGTTCGAATTCTTTTTGCTTTGACCCAAAGATACATTTTGAGAGAGACGACAGTTCCGAAAACTTCTTTGCATTCCATCAGGTTTACCTAACATGGTCCCACTGACCACTTCTCTTTGTCCTTTTTTGGTTGTTGTTGTTGTTTAGCTTTGCTATTTCTAGAAGCCGATTCAGATTAGATCATTTAAGAAACACTTAATTGTTTATTTAATCACGGCCTCTATATTAGAGGAGCTATCTCTCCCTGATTTTGCGAACGTTGCAGATTTGAAAGTCTGTCCCAGCGTTAGGCTGGAATTCCTAGTGGGCTTGGAAGCATTGGCCCCGGTAGAGAAGGTGCGGCATGAAGCTGTGTGATACTAAAGTGCTACGATCTGAGATGTGGCTCAGGCTGCTGTGCAGTCCGGTTGATGGGACTGGATCTGCACTTACTTTCAATGATCATCAAATGTTGTTGTTATTTTTTATAATTTTGCAATACTTTATTAAATGTTCTGTCACTCTTAAGAGAATTCTAAGTTTCATGGTCGAGTTGGGGGTGGGGTGGATGATGTCTTTGGTTTACATATTTTGACATTGAGTCAAAGCAGATCTCTCTTGTCATTAAAAACTTTAATTTTGGTATGAATTCTTTCATTTTCTGTAATTAGATAATCTATAGCTAGGTATTACCCAGGGACCTGCCCATCCTTCCTTCTGTCCTTCTACTTGGGAAGTATTCTAACTCTAGGAACATCATGAAGAGCATTTGCGTTGACACAATAGAATCCACCTCCACCCATTTTAACCCACATGGAATAAGCCAAAATGAAACATATGGGATTCTTGGAAGAAAGCATCAGATAACCAAACACTATGAGCAAAAAATTAATTTATTATATATATTCTCTAATAATTCATAGTAGCTTCTTGAATTTTAAATGTCTTTTTGCTAGTTCCAATACTTAAAAATCATAATTTTAAAACATAAGTATTGTTTTATATACATTGTGATCTATCTTTCTTTCTTTCTTTCTTTCTTTCTTTCTTTCTTTCTTTCTTTTTCCTCCTATATATGAATGATATGGTCTCCAGCTATCTGCTTGGGAGGAGAGGGAATAGGATTCATAGTTTTGGTCTAACACGGTAAAATTTAAAATCTCACATCATATACCCCAAGTTTCGACTATATGAAAAATAGCCAAATGTCATCCCTTTCTTGTATATTTCTTTTACATGTATATACGTATAATATAAACAGAGTACATCTGATTAGTACATTTCAACATTTCACCAATGTGACTTTTATCTCCTATTTTATACAAAATAACAAAATATACAGGGAGAAGAAAGGAGACATCTGTTCATCGTACACAGAAAGTAAATAAAAGTTCATGTATGGCTTTGCAAAGGTAGATTATGACGTGACTTTCAGACTTTATTTATTTAAAAGCATCTTGAGAGAACGTGTTAGTGTGCTTACGAGAGCGGCCATGGTAGTTGACTGTCGCGTGGAGAGTCCAACACTGGGATCCCCAGTGGTCTTTCCAGTGGCTGCCTCGGCAGCTTTCAGGAGACAAATGTAGTTTATGACCACTTCATCAATCTTCGCTACAATCTCCTGCCGCTGTGTTTCTGAGTTCACGACTTTAACTAATCGCATGCAAGCTTCTGTTAGGCAACAGAGCACTTGAAAGCTAGAAGTCATAGCTAGGAGCATCTCCTCTGGGCTCTTCTCGGCCATCGCCATTTTCCTACAGGCACTTCCCAATTGTCTGGAGTCAATGGATAACAGTTGCTTGTACTGAGAGAGTGTGAGGTCATACGCTTCGGGGCGTGACTCCTCTCTCTTCCCCTTGGTTGCCCTGACGAGGCAGAGCAGCTCATTGGCATCATTTTGGGCTGCGAGGAACCCATCGGGCATTGCATACGTACTCTGCTTCAGGGCATTTATTCTTGCGATCCGGGCATCAAAAGCCAGGTTGCTGAAGTCCATGTCATCTGGACTACTCAGGTCTTCTGCCCAGACCTTCAGCACTGAAACTCTGGACAGCGCCACTCCTTGCCTCTGGATCCCAACAGTCAGGGGCAGGCTGGTTGGCTCAGGCATGGCTTCAGTCACCTGTGGTGGGAAGAGGCAAGAGATCCGACGGGTGGGCTCTCCTTCCTCTTCATCCTCCTCTTCATCTTCATCCTGCCCTCGGTTCAGAAAGCAGTAGCTGAAAGGTCCCCGGCATCTCCAATTGCTGCCCTCCAGCTTCCGCAAGGGTAATGTCTTATATAGCTTCGAGTCTTTGTGAGCCACCGGGGACCTTTTGTGGAACTTCCCGTCAGAGCTAAAGTGCATCGAGCTTTGGGAAAAACTTTTGGTGAGCTTCTTCCCCAGTGGGAGTTCTGCCCGCCTTTCTGAACTGGCCTCCTGTGCATCTGTGATACCTGGACACTTGAAGCTGACTGCAACCTTGCTTCTCTCTCGGAAGGTCTCCAAACCTACACATTCTGAGAGGATACTGCTGCTACGTCTCAGAGCCCTCTGGCTGGGGGCTGTCCCATGGCTCTCCCCTCTCAGATCCGGTGGCTGCCGGCTCACAGCCTCTCCGTAGGCCTGGTATGCTTGGGAGAAATCAGTGGGGTCTTGATTTGGAATTGGCACCTTTGATTCCGAGTGAATGGTTGATGGTAGCAGGATGGGATCAGCTTCAGGATATTGAGACCAAACTGAAGGCATGCTTCCTCGTCTCTCCTTCCCAGACTCTGTCAAAGCTACACTAGGGGTAGTAGAAAAACAGAGAGAACCATTAAACATCTCATGGATGGGCAATTTCACTACATTTCTCTGTGATGTCTGTTGTTTCTCAAGGATGCATTCCAGAAGGGCTGCCATGTGTCAGGGTCACCCCACATTTGGAGGCACGGTCACCCTGTCTCCAAAGACTTCCTTCCTGAGATCACATGACAGATTTCTACTTCAGCACATCTCAAAAAATACCGTCATCTGTTATTTCTTGAACTGCTGATTCATTTGGAATTGTCTAGAAGTCCCCAATGTTGTCAGGGAGACAATGGAATTGCCTTGCTCCCAAGCATTGATCTGTCAAAGCTTAGACACATCATTAGAAAACACACATCCTACATGTGGATTATTCAAACATATTTATGACATTGAGGTTCTATTTCAAGGGAGTTAGGTTAATCCTGGTATCAGTTAATCTTTTTGTAAACAAGCAGCCTAATTTAATTAATGCTAAACTATCTTGCCTTTAAAGAAGACCCATAAAGTTTTCCAGGTATAGGGTGTGAAGTGGAGACACTGGGCAAATGACTGAACTTTCCTCAGAAAAGCTGTCACGTGAAGAAAATCTCCATTTCACAGAATTCTTGTGAGAAGCAAGAGGTAAATTAGGTGAAAGCTCCCTGTCAGCTGGGGAGGATCAAACAGTGTGCTGTAATTTGTTTAGAGGTAAAGATGCTTGGTGGACTGATGAGTTATGTAGCATGTATAGGTGGGTTTCCCATGGCAGGTTAAGCCAGTGGTAGGTTTTGAGAAGGTAGACAATCTTAAAAGAATAGGAATAGGACCCTGGCTGGCATAGCTCAGTGGATTGAGAGCGGGCTGCAAACCAAAGTGTCGTAGGTTCGATTCCCAGTCAGAGTACATGCTTGGGTTGGAGGCCATGACCCCCAGCAACCGCACATTGATGTTTCTCTCTCTCCCTCTATCTCCCTCCCTTCCCTCTCTAAAAATAAATGAATAAAATCTTAAAAAAAAGAATAGGAATAGAAATTAACCAATGTAAGATCTCACTAACATCTATTTGTCTCTATGGAAAACACGGTACTGATGATATACTTTTAAACTGGAAAGTATGAGTGGAACATCAACTGTTGTCACATGATGGCTGGCCAAGTGGATTGGTGAGACGAATAAGTGCCCACTGCGGGGTAGAATGGTGAAGCGGGCATGGAAGGTGGCCGCATTCTTCTTTCTACATATGTCTATGTGTTACTATTTGGGGGAAAATATAGCAGCTCATCTCGCACACCCCCAAAACTTTCCTGATGCTGAGGTATGCCAGACTCTTGCGAAGACTCCTCTAGCAGAGCCTTACAAGAGTTAAGATGCATCTGTAAGTATTGCTGAAAGGCAAAGGATCTTCCGTAGCCCCTGCAATCTCCCTGAAACCCTGCTCTATGATCCTTCCCTGCCTCTCAAAAATGAAATGGCAAAATTAGAAATTTAATGCCTTAAAAAAGAAACCAAACCATTTTGTGACTCTAAGCAATACTATTTTGTAACTAAAAGTCACACTGGGTACTGCTAAAAGTCTACATTTAGAATTAAAAAGAGAACATTGCTCCATCAGATTCTAAAAGTGAGAGGAGAGCAAGATTGTAAAGAGTAAACAACGTACATCTTCACCATTGTCTCAGATCTGGAAACTTTGGTATTTTTTTTAAACACTGAGGGATCAATGGTTAATACTTAGCCCGGCCACAGCCCTGCAGCCTTTTTAAAGATTCTAACTTTTACTTTGCTTCCAGATTTTATATTTGTTTAGGTTTCCTGTGAATTTGCTTTACATGCTCCCGGTGTATAAGGCAAAGCACTAAATCCCCCATTGCTGTACCTGTGGTTTCCTTAATCTTGGGGAGTCGATGACATCCATCTCTCAAAGTGCCAAACAGGGGTTCGGCATTAATGGCTGTGTGCAGAGCAGGCACTGTCATCCGCGGACACACCCCTTCTGTCTGTGGATGTGATTCCTTGAAGGGGGCCCCGTGGTTGGGCAGCCCAGTGGCCCTCTCCTCTGAAGGAACATAAGTCACGCCTTTTCCTGACGTCTCAGGAATCAAGTGCTTCCCCATGGAGGGGCAGAGTGGGGACTCCACGGGTGTGGCGCAGGTGCTGCTGCTGCTGCCTGTGCCACAGCCCGCGTCCACCGAAGAGCCCTGAGAGCTCTGCAGAGAAAAATGGCCCTCGCTCTGTAATGATGACATCCGCTTGGCCAAGTGGTAGTCACAAAGATGGGCCACACTCTCTTCCGCCCCAGGAAGCTTGGAAGGATGGTCACAGGTAGATGGGTCAGCATCCTCTGGGTTATCTAAGTCTTTGGCTGAAGAGACACAGGTCACGTCAGTTAAGAAGTGGTCCCGTTGGCCAAGTCCTGAAACCTCATTGGCTTCCCCACTGGGGGTCCCTTCATCCTTCCCTTCGGCCTCCCTTGTCCCCAGACCAGAAGCTCTTGGAAAGAGTATCCCTGTGGCTGCTTCCAATCCACTTTTTTCAGCCACCCCGCCCTCGGTGGCCACATACCATCTTTGGCTGTCCTTGCGAAAGGCAGTTCTCTCCAGGTTAAAAGTGCTTAGGTGTTGACTGTCCCTTGAAGACACGGTACCAAATTTACCTTTGGCGTCCTCCTCTGCCTCAGCTGTTTTGGTTCCCTGCTGCTTTTTCCCTGGTACGTTCCCCACAGGGGGCGCTTTGCCCTCCCCATCGGCCAGCTTGCTTTTCCTTTTGCTGGTGCAGGAATACGCCACTGACCCCATGTGAAGTTTGCTAAAATAGTCGGTGACCGACTTGGTCTCCATGGTTTCAGGCTCCATCTCCATGTGGTCTGAGTGAAGTATCTGCTTGGAAGGCACGACTTTGGGCGGGAGGTCTGTCACTGGACGGGTGGCCAGAGTATGGGAGGACTTGGGGGGCAAGACCCCAGCAGGGGTTTTGGAGGTGGAGAACTCTGTCTGCTCTTCTGCCAGGGGGTGGTAGCCTTCATGAGTGGCCAAGAACATGCGGGAGAGGTTTTCTGACTGCTTCTGTGCTGTGGCCAGTTCAGAACTCTCAGTCATTTCAGAAGAGTTAGTTTCATTGCCTGAGTCTGAGGAAGACTCGGGACTATAAGCCCTCAAGATGGCTACACCTGCATGCCGTAAAAAACAAGAACCGATTAATGGATGCATCAGAGGCACTAAGGAGACATGTACGAAAATGGGACTCATTATTATTACTAACAACAGAGCAAAGCAAGGTTTTCCCTTTTCAGTAAGGACTCTGAGTTTATTGCATAGTTGTTCCAGAAATGAGGGGAAGACGTGCCACATGTTTAAAAAAAATAACAAAGGAAACCACAGACACAAAAAAAAGCCACGATGGTAGTTGCTGCACATTTATGAAATGGGACATGCGTGAAATGAGAGAACACAACATAATAGGACTCCAAGGGTAAATGGCTTGATGGGATGAGTGATATGGTTATCAGTGAATAAACGTAACAATCGTGAAAGAACCTGAATTGTTACTGGTCTGCTGTTCTTCTGACACGGACAGAGCTTCTAGAGCTTCCAGCGGGGAAACGACAGTGTTATCCAGCCCCTTGTCACATGTTCCCTCAGTGCTGGTGGGCACAGCGTCAATGAGGGACACGGGGATCTCATCATTTTGCAGGTTGCCGCCTGGCTCCTTGTCCTCGAGGAAGGAAGCTGCCTGGCTCTGAGAATCCTCCTCATCTGAACTATCTCTGAAGCCAGGTGGGGGTGCGGCGATAGCCATGTTCAAGGAACGCAGCAGGAAGTCATCCTCATTGTCGTCTCCTTCAGGAGGGGGCAGGGACGTGAGGTCAATGATGTCATCACTTGACCCGGACAGGTTGAGGAGGGCTGGCTGGTTCATGTCTCCCACCATGAGGTCCTCCTCACAGCTCACCTCATCCTCATCTTCTGCATCGTCGGTGTTTTCTGCGTAGCAAATATCACGCAGCAGGGGCTCCTCTATCCCCTGGGTGGCCTCGAAGGTCTTCACGTCACCTATGTTTGCATAAACAGAATGTTCCACAAATTGGATGTTGTCCGCATCTGGCGTGAGTTCCAGGCTCTTCATGTCATTGGCACTGCTCATGTAGACATGTGACTGCTTCTCCAGGAGCTCCGGACTCTCGTCCAGTAGCCTCTCATAGCTGAGAGTCGGGGGATTGATCCCATCATCCATGGCAAGATCTCCAAAAATAAAGGACACTTTAGCTCCTCTCGGAGACTCCTGTGCTTTCTTTAGAGTTTCTGGTCCCGAGAAGGTCAACAGGGACCGCTGAGCTAGACTTCTGTAGTCAGCCTCACATGCAGCATCTCCCGGCTGAGCCAGCGGTTGGTTGAGTTCATCCGAATTATAGGTGTTGGCCATGTACAAGTGCCGGTGGTCTTTTGGACATGACGTGCCATCCGAAATCTCCACCGTCTTCTGTTTGGAGTCTATATATGTTATCTGGGCTTCTTGTTCCCCTTCGCCAATAAAGGTGGTCATCTGGGGTACACAGTTCCAATCAGGGCCGAGGACATTGTGCTTTCCTTTATTTTCAGTCCCTAAAGAGAAAGAATCATGCAAAGACACATTACAGTGCTGTCTGGTGTCAGGGGGCTCATCTCTGGTTCTTAATTTAATGGCCTGTATCACCATGTTGGTAATAATGGGGTTATTCAGCTTTCCAAATGTGGTAGTGGTCGATTTAGGCTTCAGGTGTAAGGACTTCTTGGTTGGGAGAACTGACATTAACCGAATAACTATGGCAGAAAATGTAATTGCTATTTGATAAAATAGACGGTAATGCCATCTGAGAGTAGGGAACTGTAGCTTAATTCCATCTGACCCTTGATTCTATTATTAAAAGATTTCACATCTATGAACGTGAATATGAAACATGTCTTTTAATATCCTTAAAGGTGGTAGTTCAACAGGCTCTTATTCCAGGATATAGATTGCCCTTTACTTTGTAAAGCGACATGTAACAATGCCCACTTTGTAGAGGAAGATGTGGGACTTTTTCTTCACTGAGTTAAGAGAAAGTCAAGGATCTACATATTTCTACCAGTTATTTTAGAAGGTATTGTAATGATCATGTAATAATGTAATAATAAAACATATCAATAAAATATAATAATAAATATTGGAATGATAGTACGAATACCTTTATCTTCAGCTCTTTTATATCCTAGTGGATGTCCATATACAACCTTAGAGCCTTTGGAGGAAGCATGGCCCTGCCAACACCTAGGTTTTGAACCGATAGCTTCCAAAACTGTGCGCGAATAAGTTTCTGTTATGTTAAGCCCCCAAGTTCGTAGTGATTTGTCACAGAGCCCTAAGAAACTAATACAATGTACATGGCTGAGTTTCAATCAAACTTTATTTACAAGAGCAAGATTTGGCCCATGGGCCATAGTTTGCCAACTCCAGGATTAAACCGACACGAAAACTGAATAGGTCAGCAGGCTACAAGCAAGTTAAGAGATACTCACTGAGACCCTCGTAAGACCCAGAGATGCATAAATATATGGGTTTGGGGATTTTGAAAGTACTTTAGGTTCATTTTCAAGATCTGGAAGAACAAATGCGGGCTTACTGTTCTTTGTTAGAAATCTTGATTAAGGTCTTTGATCGATTTGAGACAAGAAGAAAATACACACTCAGTCTTGGCTTCCTTCCCCAAAGCGGACTGATTTGGCTTCTGGAATGATTTTGGAGACACGGAAGGATGTGGACTGGGAATTGGGATCTATACTATGGTCCAGTCTTTTACAGAGCAGGAGAAAATGCAGTAGGGATGAGCTGACCGAAACGGAACTCACTGTCTACAGTTCCTGAGTCTCAGGAGGTCTTTGGGGAGTTTTTACAGACAAAAGAAGACTTTCCACCATGAGAGGATGCTAAGCCTTGGGTTGCTGCTCAGCTTGGGTCGATCAGTTGCTCATTGGAGTACGACAACTCTTTCCCTTGTCCCCCCTTCTTACACACACATGTACACACATGCCTGCTCTCTCTCACTCATTCTTGCTGTAGAACTAGGAGAAATTAATGAAAGGTTAAAGTTCCATTCTTTCCCCATGGTGCTAATACTCTTCAGAACTACGTTTTTGCCTCTTGAACTTTTATTAAATGTTACGTTGTGGGTCATTATAAAGAGGACAGAATCTAGGCCCTTATCACAGTAACCATTTTTAGAGTGGTAGGTTTGGATGTTTTCATGCATCTACACCATCTCAACAGTCCATGGGGAAAAGGTTTTATGTTCTAGATAAACTTTAAGGCTTGAAAATAAAAAGGCAAAAAGTGGTTTCCCAATGTTAAAGGAGTGTGTTAAATTGCTGAACTGGTGTTTGAAATTTCAGAGGTCAGCATTAAATTGCTCCAAACCTCCTAGCTCAGTGAAAACGTGGTCATAAAAATGCTCACCACCCAACCCAGCACATACTCACCAAGTTCTTCTCGTTCCTCCCCATTTATTTGCCATCATTTGTGTCTTTCAGGGCCTTTCTTTGCCTTGTGTCTGTCTTCCACTCCTTTCTGTGTTTCTGTTACTTTCACTCTGAAGTGTTCCTATTTTTGTTTCCTTTTCCTACCACCAATTATGAGTAGAACGACTGGGCCTCATTTGAGGTGGGGTCCATCTATATTTTTTTCCAATTCTTACCTTGCAAGCTTGGTTTTTAATCATAATTCTACAGATAAAAAGCCCCATATTGAGAGAAAATTTTTTTAAAAAACAGGCATTTCCAGGTGGGGTTGGATTAAATACAGTCGAGGTTGCCTTCTGGCATACCTTGTCCATCTCTCTCTTCCTCTCTGGTTTCCCTTTATCCTATGACTATAATGGCTGCCATTATAGCCATTATAGTCATAGGATAACCAGCCATTACCATAAGCAGCGTGCGAGTCTTTCTCTGTGTGTATGTCCACACATCACAATATATCTAGGGAATAATTATTAATGTTTTTTTGCTAAGTTTAAAAGCAAGATTTCCCTCCCCTTCTTTTTCCTCCCCCTCTTTTCTATCAGGAACAGCAACAGTGGAATTTGCTCATAAGATTTTCCCTTTCTTCTAAAAGAAACCCTCAGTACGGAAGCCGTGATTAGACTTTTTCATGGGTCAGTAGCTTGGACTTCGGGAGCTGCATCTGTCTCTCAGCCACATTTACTGAGTGTCCACTGTAGACAGAGACAATGCCAACATGAAGACGAAAGGTCTAAACAAATGGGAACCACCCACCCTGAGAGAAACTATCAATGCAGCCTTTGCAGCCCTCCTTGCCCTCACTTCCGGGCTGTTTCATCCTGTCAAGTGGCTGGATCAAATTATTTGAAATCTAGCCCTGGCTGGCGTAGCTCAGTGGATTGAGCTCGAGCTGCGAACCAAAGCATTGCAGGTTCTATTCCCAGTCAGGGCACATGCTTGGGTTGCAGGCCACAGCCCCCAGCAACCGCACATTGATGTTTCTCTCTCTATCTCTCTTTCTCCCTCCCTTCCCTCTCTAAAAATAAATAAATAAAATCTTAAAAAAAAAGAAAGAAAAAAATCACATTAAAAATCTAACTTTAAAAAAAATTATTGGAAATCTTTTTTATCGCAAAGCTCCCCATACAGAGCTAAGATGGCTGCCACAGTCCCTCCTAAAGCCCCAAATCCAAGTGCTGGGCACTACCCAAGTCGTCCTGTTGGGAGAGTTTCCAGATCGTGGAGGTAAGTCTGATGCAGGAGGAGGGCCCCAGGCAGCTGGACCTATGGCACCCTAAGGAGGGACCAGGCCTACAGCTGGGGGCTCACACTTGCTATGGGGCATTCCATTATTTGCTCTCTGTGTCCTGACTGCTGTGAGAGGGAGACATTAAAACCCCGCCACGAAGACTGCTGCTCACTCCCGCACAGTCATCAAATCACTGCCTTTGAAGCACATGCTCACTCCGGCATTTCCAAGTGAGGTGTAACATGTGATGAAAAAGACCAACTTTTTCCTAGAACAAATTAGACCACACCGGATATCTCTGAAGGCTTTCGTGTGAAATTGGAACAGTAGATTTTCCATGCGTATCATTGTAACTTTTCAAGAAAGAGCCTTACTATTTTTGCCAGGTGAGGTGGGGGGAGGCCGTGCTTCATGCGTTTAGGAAGAGAGTACCTGTTTCCTGTGTCCCTGCATTTTTCTTGTTGGCCATGTTGAATATCGACCTCCTGGAGTCCACCAGGAGCCTGTAGTATCCAGCTGTTAGGCAGGCCAGGTTCATGGCATCAGATGACTCCATCAGGAGCGTGATGGGCTACAGAAAACAGAATGTTTGGGTTAAAGCCATCTCTCCTTAATATTGCGTTGGCCAAAGAGTCCATGTAGTTTTTTCCCACAAAATAAAAAAGATGTTTTACATTTTCACCAATAACTTCATTGACTTGGACATTTTGAGGATGTTGGCTATCTCCTACGTGGTAGAACATTGGCTGTTCTCAGTTAATGTCTTGATTTCATCGCTATCAACTTCCACTAGTCTACCTGACCGGGGAGCATTATCCAGTGAGAAATTATCGGCATGAAAGTTTGCAAACCATGCTTGACACATTTGATCTGTCACAGCACCTTCTCCATACACTGCACAAATCTTTGTGTTTCAGTTGTGTTTTTACATTTCTTGAAATAAGAAAGCATCTTATGCTGGAAACATTGCATATTTTCTTCCATGTTATTATTCCATCCTTTGTGTGTGGCCATTTGATATTAAAATGGTGACACAAAAATTCACCCCTTTTCATAAGTTTTTTTAATGCATGCTGATATGACAGCAGTCACAATGCAATCTAACAAAATTGTTTCAAATGAAGTTAAAGACCACTAAGCGCTACTAGAGCCATTGTATGGAAAAAAATCTAACCAACTTTTTGGCCAACTGAATGACTTCATTCGGGTGACGATGACTGTCTTTGTGCTTATGAAATGTAAACAGTAGAAGTTATGGGGCAACCATTTCATTGGAGAGACATAAATGCAGAGAAGAGGTCAGGCATTTGGAATCTTTCCCAAGTCATAGAGGAATAAAAAGAAAGTCACATGGGTTTTGTTCCCAAATGGTTAACATTTTTTAAAAATATTTTTAAAGATTTTATTTATTTATTTTTAGAGAAGGAAGGGAGGGAGAAAGAGAGAGAGAGAGAGAGAGAGAAACATCAATGTGTGGTTGCTGGGGGTCGTGGCCTGCAACCCAGGCATGTACCCTGACTGGGAATTGAACCTGCGACACTTTGGTTCGCAGCCCGCACTCAATCCACTGAGCTATGCCAGCCAGGGCTAATGGTTAACATTTTAAAAAGTGATAGGTAAGGAGTTTGTTATCAGATATGAACCCACAATTTGAAAGACCACGGGAAGATTAAGTTTGGGTTCATGACGAAAATCAGTGTTGAAGAGCAGTAAGAATTAAGTGGAAATGACTGCTAAGACTGAAAGAAAAGTGTCAAAGAAACCCAGAAATAGGAGGCTTCCAAGAAAAATTGTAAATTAACAGGAGGTCAGAAGAGACATGGGGGTTGAGAAAAGGCCTTCCTAAAACTTTCTGGGTTTCTGGCCAGGTCCCCAGTAGGGGGCGTTCAAGAGGCAACCACACATGGATGTTTCCCTCCCTCTCTCCCTCCTTTCCCCTCTCTCGAAAAAAATCAAATAGATAAAATCTTTTAAAAAACCTTTCTGGAAGCAATGAGGTTATTGTTTCATTAGACATGGATCTTGGGCATATAGGGAAGGAAGTATTCAGTGTAAACAATTATTCTCATTGAGTTAGGAAGGGGGGCATGGCCAGTGGGCTCTCATTGAAAGAGAGATAAAGCGAGAGGGAAATAATGGAACAACAAAAAAGCAGACACCCGGAGAGAAACACAGAAACAGCTATAGGCATCTTGCTCTCCCTTTCGGGTGTGGGACACTGGCCAGGGTGGACAACCCCACTGGTGGAATCCAACTTCCCATCCAAAGCCTCTGTACTTCTTAATGACCTGCCTTTTCCTTCCATTTCAATTGAGGTCTCCCCTCAATCCATCCCACAATTCCCTGATACAGGCAGGGTACCATGAATAAGGCCTTGCCATCCACTTCTGTTTGAGACAGATTATCCCTGGTTCGAAGGTCTGTGATGCCTGTATCCAACTCATCCTTTTTCCATGATGGAGCTATTGTTTTCCACATCTTTGGTCACAGACTAGGGCAGGCATTCCAAGTCTCTTCTTGTACCTGAAGTCAACCGGAGCCCCCTGGGTTTAGCCCATGGAACCCCACAGGCCACGGCCCACCTGGAGGAGCGCCACATTCTCATGGGCATCTCTTCCTGCTGCAGAGCACACCGGTGCTGTGTGATTTGCTGTGTAGAAGCCCTTTCCCATCATCTGCTCCTCCCACACCACCCTAGTGGGAGCAGGTCCTCCTGCCTGTTCTCAGAGCACTTCCTGTGGACCCCAGATACATCAACACTGCCCAGATCCAATGGCTCATCTACTACTGCGACAAGAAGGTGAGGGCAGGGAATCTGGATTACTTCCTGACAAATTCTGTTTGGGGAGTCAAGTTTTCCCATTTGAGGATGATCTCAGATTGTTTTAAATGGAATGGCCATGACGTTTGCTGGAGCCAGATGTTCAGTCAGTACTAATTGCTACAGTCTGCAAAGACAGATTGACTGAAATACTCAGCTTTTCCAAAAGAATAAACACACCAGACCTGAGCTAACAAAACGTTAGTGGGAGTTCTACACAAAGCTGGCAAAAATCTCCCTGACTACACGAGAGCCGTATATTCTAAAATGGTAAGTGGGGAAAAAATCTCTCCCACTCTATCTGTGATTCATGTATTCTGGAGCCAAAGGGACCTTAGCAATGAACCCCCTTGCTTTCTTATTACGGAGGATGAAATTGAGCCCAGAGAAGAGTAGCGACTTGTCCCTGCATCCCACAGTTAGTGAGTGAGGACGGGAGTACTCAGGCCTGAGTTGGGTGGATGTTTTTCTGTGCCGCATCGTCCTTTGGATGCCCCGCACACACCGAAGTTTTGCCTGCTGTGGAAATCTCAGCAGTGTGTCACAAAGGAGCTGTTCCAGTCGAGGCCATGGGGCCACATCCAGGAGACGTACCTTCACATCCAGCACATGCAGCTCCACCCTCACCAGGTTTTCCTCTTCGGTAAACATCTCGATCCTGTTGACGTGGCTGAAGTCGGCTAACAGAGCCACCAGATTGGTTTTGGTGTTTATGACGTGGCTTATGCCGTATCGGGGCCCGACCAGGAGAGTCACTTCTGAGCGCTTTTCTGCCTGCTGAGAAAGGGACATCGACAAAATATAAAAAGACTAGACTTCTGAAGACCTCATGAAATGTTTTTGATAAACTTGCATTTTCTTTAGAAAGTATTTCTGGGCTCTATGGTACTAAGTCACCCGATAGAAGAACCAGAGATGTGACCGTATCAAGGCTCTGATAAATCACACGGTAGAAAGTAAATGTTATCCTAGTATGTAGGTTCATACTCACGAGAGACTTTTAGGAATGAGACATAAACATCTTTTTAATGTGAAAGCGACTTCTGGCTCCATGACTTAAAGGGAGGCCATGGTCAGAATGTACCAGTTCCCCTTGGTTTTTCCCATTCCGTTTCTGAGGGCATTCTACATTGGTGTTCGCTAGTGGAACATTTCCTCAGACTAGGGTGCAGTCGCTGAGAAATGAGGGCTGGAAACTATTCGCAGCGGATTGGTTTTTGTCATTGAAAGAAGCTCATTCAAGACAAGCGACGCAGTGACAGTCTGCAGGCCTCCATGACTTCCCGGAGAAAGCAAGCAAAAGAAATTACCACTAATGTTGCCTTGAACACACGACCACCATACAAACGAAGGTCGCTGAGGAACTTGAGATAATGGACCTTGGCTTGCAGCGCAGAGAGCTGTGGAGAGAGAAGAAACCTCGGGTGTGAACTCCATTGACAAGGGTGTGACTCTGTTCTGTGTGGAGACCAACTGCAAACAAGGGCAGACTGGAGGATGGCTCTCCCTCCAATGGGCGGGTGTGACAAGGACTCTTTATGAGGAATGAAAAAAAAATCGCTCTGCCTTTGATTTGTTGATGAAGGGCCACAACAGGATATTTGCATGCGAATCGTTTTATTTTGGGGGAACGTATGAGGGGTTCACAAGCGCGGATACGCCTGGCCAGTGAGGGCAAGATACTACATTTTTCCACTGAAACGTCTGCCTGGGGAGATTTTGAGAGGCCAGAGGTGCTCTCCAATGGCAGTTAGAGACCAGGGCAGGCTGTGCACACTCTCCCGTCACACAGGAGACTTAACCTGCGTGCAGAGCTTGCGGGAGCTGTCTTGAAAACACACCCGCAACCTATACAAAGCCATTAAGCAGGCTCTACATGCCCAGCTCACGTTCCTTACCTTCTTTGCAAGTTTTTAGGGAAAATGAACTTTCTGAGCTCCAATCACTGTGGGAATGTTACAACTTGCTCTATTCATTCAACTCTGAGAATCTATTGAGGCTCATGAATGATTGACAAATGACATTTCAGCTAGATAAAATTTATCTTCATAAAGACTTAAATATGTAGATTCCTACATCATAAAAAAGTCCTTGATTTTGCCCTGGCTGGCGTAGCTCAGTGGATTGAGTGCCGACAGCGAACCAAAGCGTCGCCGGTTCAATTCCTAGTCAGGGCACATGCCTGGGGTGCAGGCCACGGCCCCCAGCAACCGCACATGGATGTTTCTCTCTCTCTCTCTTTCTCCCTCCCTTCCCTCTCTAAAAATAAATAAATAAAAATCTTTTAAAAAAAGTCCTTGATTTAAAAAAAAGTCCACAGTTCATACTGAATGTGCCAGGAATGTTCGTTGGGGCTGAGAATTTCCAACGAGGCATAGACTCCGAGCAGCAATGACTGGAAAACTCTGTGTGCAATGGCAGATGACTTGGCAACTCATTTGTCTACTACACTTAAGTGCCCTACCCCTTCGGTAACGGGTCCGTGGGACTATTCATCCATCCAACTTCTTAAAAAAACCCAAAGCACTTCGCAAATCGATTTGAAAGCAAACCACTCCCCATCGGCTAGAAAGAATGACCTTTACAGACAGTGATAGATGGGTAGATCGATCTTAGAACAGGTATCCGAGTTATAAAACCAGTGGGCCAGGCTTGAAAAAAAAGTCCTACCAAGCCGATCGGAAAAAAAAAAATTAGCTTTGGGCAAATTTAAAAAATCTTGATCCACAGTGTCCTGCTATATTTCTGTGTGCTGAATATTTACAGAAACCGGGAGAGAGCCCAAGGTGCTGATAGCATTTGGAACCCGATCATTTGTTTTGAAAAAGCCATGCAGTGAGGAGGGAATGGAAATAAGCATGCCTTAGCCTGTAAAAATGACTTAAAATCAGATCCGAAGACCAAAGAATTACCCACATAAACAGTGATTTGTGTTCCGGTCACACAAGTTTCTATGGCTAATATCCACTGGAAAATGTTCTTGGGTTTTTGGACTGCGTCCAGTTTTATAGGACCAGTGTTTTAAAGCTCCTTCTGATTCCTGAAACCCTTTGCTTTATGTTACCTCTGAACACAGTCCTTTACATTTTGACCCACAGTATATTTTAAAATAGGCTTTGTGTTTCTTCTACTTGATAAGAAAAAAAAGAGGCAGAGAGAGATTTTAACACTAATGACGGCGAATGACAGAAGGAATTTTATCTTCTCTCCAAAAGTAAGATTGAATTCAGTGGTTGTCAACCGTGGTTGATTTCGTTCCCCAGGGCACCGTGTCTGGAGCCATTTCTGGTTGGGTAGAGGCCAGGGATGCTGCTAAACATCACACGATGCACAGGACAACCCCTCCCCCCAACAAAGAATGATCTGGTCCCAAAGGTCAGTGGCACTGAGGCAGAGAACCCTGCTTTAATGAATGCGGCATCTGGTCTGCAGGGACCCTTGCTGGCTGCTGCGGTTGAGCTGGTCTGAGTGGAAAGCAAGAACTTGACAGAAATATAAAATGATCTTACAAGTCTGCCCTCTAATTGGAGGTCATGCCATGTTCTCCTGCATGCCCATGTGAACCCCCCATACAATAAAGAGTCTACAGTTTGTAAGAAATAAATAGCTTTCCATAAGAATCCTTATTTTTCATTGGTCTTAGAAACATGTTAATAGTTTGTCTTTTTTAAAAAAAGGTTAGCATGTTACTGCTTCTGAAAATGTAGCGCTAAGTATTTTATCCATGGGCTAATTTTAAACATTACAAAAAGTGCATGCAAGCCTCTCTCTTTAAAATCCATTGTCTATTAAGATGCAAATGTGATACCTTTTTACCGGGTGGTACCAAGTTTTGATTTGCTTTGACAAGGTGTGAAAGTGCTTTCTTTATGTTCTTCTCCTTCATGCTTTGCAGCACAGCAGAGGGAAGAAAAGTCTCTAATCCCCACTCTTTTCTGCAATAAAGAGCATATTTTTAATTTCACATTCTTGTGATGATGAGTTATCTAAGACAAAACAGCGCCCTGATGTTTGGTGGAACAAATGAAATCTTGGCAAGGTAGAGAACACGAGACAAGTCCCCAGTGAGGGAAGCAACTTTTCATTTGCGCTCAGGAAACACTATTGGATCTTGAATCCATAAGTTTGCCGTTTAAAAGAAACACATTGCTCACTCTCCAGAGAGAATGCAAACAGACATCCGGGAATCAGTGGAAATGGACGAGATCTCATCCAACCCACCTGGAGTCTCTTAGAATTCCCTCGCATATCTGAGTTTGCATTCCCAACACCAATTTCTCTCTGACCCTTTGCTCATTCCCTTTGTCACTTATCCCTGTCTGTGCATACTCTGTCTCTCTTCTCTGAGAAGGACAGATGCCACTCCTTCATGCCCCAAACCATTCTTCTCTCCCCCTCTCCCTCATCAATAGCTACTTGCTTAGAAACACACAATTCTCTTTTCCCCCAGCCAGTTAGACTATCTAACTCCTTCCATCAGCATTTCTTGCTTGCGGGGGCGGGGGGGGGGTTCTGCTGCTGTGAAGTTGGGGTGGGATCCATGACCCTTAAATATGTCTGGTACTGATGAAAAGGTGCAAACACCTCATTGGTGTGGAGATAAAAGAAAAACAAACAAATAAACAAATGGGACTGGGAAAATATACTTTTGCCAAGAAGCCATTTCCCTATGACTACAACCCTACCCTAAGAAGGTTCCATATTTTGAGTTTTAGGAACTCCATCCTGATGGATCGTGTGCCTAAGCAGTGTCTTCTGAATTCTGGGAAGGACTCTGAGGAGGTCCTGGTTATTCCTCCTGCTCCAGATCCTCTCCGAAGAAGGGTAGGAAGATAGCTTCCTTCCACTTGACCATTTATGCTCTTCTTCGCTAGTTCAGATGGTGGGGTTTTTTTCTAATCACCATTTTCCTCCTCCTCCTCCACCTGTACTTATTATTTTTCCCCATCATTTGGCATTCCTTAGGGGCTACCTTATCATTTTACTTTTCTTATTTGAAATCATTATTTTTCATATCTTGATGGCTTGTTTTTATAAGCAGATCACAAATGATGGATGGTTACGATGATAATTTGTACATTATACTTTCTACTGTTCCAGTATGAATACCATATAAAATGCTCCCTGAGCATTTGTTGGGTGTGTGAATTAAGTTCATGAGAGCATGATTGTAGACGATGCAAGGTTCTTAGTCAAGCCAGTTCTCTTTGGGAGTTTTTGACTGTGCCATGTTCAATCTCGTAAAGTGTGGGTCCCGAGAGTAGCAAGAGAAATGCATTTAGGGTGTCTGAAAATCACCTCGATTTTTGCAGACTCCCTTATCAAAGGGAAGCCATTTTCATCTGTGCCCAAGCACTTCCCAAAGGGGAGTGGATGAGGGTATGAACGTGTCCATCTGAATGTAAGACCTCTCTGTGGGCCGACTCTCCCAGGCTATGGTCAGAGCATGCGTGGCAAGAGAGAAAGAGATAAACCATCATCTGTGAAAAGGAGTGGGCTGGGACCTGGCACTCTGGAATTGAGAATGGCTTTACAGGCAGCACATGGGACTGGAAGGCGGGATTTCAATGAGTTCGTATGCCTCTTGGAAGTAGCAATGGAGAGGACCCTAAAGCTTGTAGTGTTAGGTGGAGACATGCCTTCAGCCCTGCCATGAACTTGGAAATATGTGTGTTCCTTTGTCTTAGCATTAAAGCTGCCGGGATTGAGAAGGTATGGCTGCTTTAGGGTATTGAATCACCTGCCAACGGGGAGCATACAGACTGGGCAACGGAGGTGCTCTTTTCAAAGATGACCCTTAAATAGACTCACCAACTGACAGCACCACAAACTGCTATTTTTCTAAGAAGAGGGGATCTTCTCCGGACAAACAGGTAGCATACTGATGCTATAACTGAGTACTCAGCAAGATGAGACATTCGTTGCCCTGGCTGGTGTAGCTCAGTGGATTGAGCGCAGGCTGCGAACCAAAGTGTCGCAGGTTCGATTCCCAGTCAGGGCACATGCCTGGGTTGCAGGCCATGGCCCCCAGCAACCGCACATTGATGTTTCTCTCTCTCTCTCTATTTCCCTCCCTTCCCTCTCTAAAATTAAATAAATAAAATCTTAAAAAAAAGATGAGACATTCGCATTCCCCAAACAACAGTTCTTTGCTACAAATACCATCCTTTCCAGTTGTGACTTAGAGCATTGCTTTTCATGTCGCATTTTCATCATCTAAAAGGAATCTTGGGTTATACAGACTGCTTTCTAAATACAGGGGCTTCCAGTGATCACACAAACTATAGTTCAATGTGGAGTCTCCCTGCCTGGGTTTGAATCCTGCCCCCTCTGATAAATAGCCAGTGTGACTTGGGTAAATTACTTACCCATTCTGTGCCTTGGTTGGCTCTTCTATAAAATGGAGTTAAAATCCTACTGATCTCATAGGGATAGTGTGAAAATTAAACAGTTTAATGCCTAAGCCCTGGCTGGCGTAGCTCAGTGGATTGAGCACAGGCTGCGAACCAAAGTGTTGCAGGTTCGATTCCCAGCCAGGGTACATGCCTGGGTTGCAGGCTATAACCCCCAGCAACCTCACATTGATGTTTCTGTCTCTCTCTCTATCTCCCTCCCTTCCCACTCTAAAAATAAATGAATAAAATCTTTTAAAAAACAGTTTAATGTCTAAAAAGCACTGAGACCAAAGCTTGGCTTGGAACCAAGTGGTTTAGGAGTTTAAAAAGGTGTGTTTCATTTTAAACATGACCCTCATTTTAACCACAATTCTCTAACTGTGAGTTGTATAAGAAATGGATCGCTTCCACCAAAAATGAACATGCTGTCCATATATTTTCCCTATGTGTAACAAATGGTCTGCCACAAAGGTCAACTTTGGAAATCAAGATATAGATAAAAAATACAGTTGGTCGTTCCGGGGACAGCAACTTCGTCTCTGCAGCGGCTCCCAGTAAACACTTACTCGATGTACTTGAGGGAGATTTTCTGCGTTTGCTTGGTGGTAACGGTTGCAATGTACATTTGCAAGGCCGCCAGCCGCAGGGCTATGTCGTATTTCAGCTCCGGCCCAAATCGCTCCTGGACGACGTCGTTACAACTCTGCGAAGAGACCAGCAGAGGGCGCAGCTTGTCAAAGAACGGGCCACACGGCATTGCTAGGCGGAGCAGGTGACAGCACCGCCACCCGCCCCCACCCCGCCCCCTGCAAAGGCAAGGAGGCTAAATGCGGAAACAGTTGCACCGCGCTGCTTGGAACTGAGTCAATATTTAATTGCGCTCACCAACATAGAGACCACACAAAACATTTAACATCAATCGACAAGCAAGCTGCTATTTCAATATTTAGCTTTTTGTAAAAAATAATTAGGAATTAAGGTATGGAATTCCAAAACACAGGTGGTACGATGGAACACGTAGACCTGAGAGCGAGGTGGTTTCCAGAGTTAGGCTGCTGGGGTTGGAATCCTGGGTTCAAATCCTGTTCCTCCACTCCACAGGGGTGTGAGCTTGGACACGTTGCTGAATTGCCCTGTACCTCAGTTTCCCCTTCTGTAAACCAGGGTTAGTTCTGCTCCCTACTCACAGGGCTGTTGTCAGGGGGAAATGAGCTAGACGTGCAAAGCCCTTAGAACTCTACCTGTGAACTGAAAGCACCCATGTGTGCTAACAGTCATCGTCCTCTTCCTCTCTGCGTTATCATTTAGGGCAGCTTCCGGGAGGCAGAGGCGTTGGCAAAGTGACGGACAGCAGCCGCGCTGGACTTAGCCACTTGCTTCGGGGTCCTAGCTCTGCCCCCGACTCTATCTGGGTACGCAACTCGGACCACTTTGTTTTCTCCCGCAGCCCCAGGCAGCTCATCTGTGTGATGGGGATGCACACTGTGCACCCGACAGTAGTGGTGGTGGCTGAGCTGAGATGCCCAGCCCGCGCCTGCTCACAGCGCCCTGGTGCGCTCAGGAAAGGGGGCTATTGAAATCCTTAGTCCATCCTAGCGGTGACGGCCCCCGCTGTCACAGTGGCGGAGTCATCCAGCCTCTCGGCCTCAGTGTGTTCATCTGTAAAAGGGAGCCACCTACAAGGGCTGCTGGGGATGTTCTCTCACCGGGTTTGGGAAGAGCGTATGGTCAAGTGCAACATCCTACATGACGGCAAGAGATCGGTTTGAGGATGGCGTCCTCCTCGCTCATTAGGAGCAAAGGCTGAGCCAAATGTCCGCGGGAAGTGCAGCGCTGCCTAAACGCATTCTGCAGGGGTGTTTATTCAGCTTTGTTCTGGGAAGCCAGACTTTGGGGCTAGAAGATATGACACGTAGCCTCTCTCTCCCTTTCTTATTCTTTACCTGGTCCCGAGATGATTTCAAGTGGAAAACTCTATCAGGATGTGTTTGCCTCCTTTCCAAATGTATTGACTTGACTAAATGGGAGCCCGTATCCCAGTATGGTTTTTGCACACAATGTTTACCCTTTAAATACTCATGCCCGATGCACCGGTGCTGAGCGATGCACTTCCTGTCCATATGCTCTGGGTGTGTGCCTCTCAGCCCATCTCTTCACCCCTAGGAGTGAGGTCATTCTCTCCCCCTTCCACCTCTCTGGTCTTCCAACTCTGCTTCCCCTTAAAACCTTCCATCTTTCACCTGCTTGCGCAGCACTGCCTGTTGGAGGCGGGTGTGACACGAGGTGGGAGGCGGGTCCTGCTGCGTGAACACAGCCCCTGAGAGCAATTGCAGGCTGCCATTTGGTTTTGCTCGTCTTGGGTTTCACAGTTATTTCCAAGTACCCAGGGTTGTCCATCATGGAGCACCACGGGGTTTAGGGCCCAGTTAGGGTCATTTTGTCGAGTCTCATGGGGTTTGAGGGTGAGGGAGCCACTCAGCACAGGGCCAGACCGTAATAACAGGTCCTGGAGTCAGCTTTTTCATAAGTCACTCTCTTGTATGGCTCCTATTGCATAATGGATTGGAAACAGGACTTTAGCACAGTGTTTAGAGATAAAAGCTCGAGGTCCGATCCTTAGGCTCTGTCAACCACTAATCAAATGGCCTTGGGCATGGCATTTTGTCCGTCTTTAGTCTCCTTTTTCTTATATGGAAAACGGGCTAAAAGCAGTTAATTCATGGTTGCTGGGATACTTGGAAGGATGCGTTGTAAAATGTAATGTGGTGTATACAGGTGAGTTATCACTCTTGCTTCTCCTAAGAGTTGCAACTACAACTGTTTCTTCCCATCCCAATTATATCCCTTCTGTGTGTGTGTGTGTGTGTGTGTGCGTGTGTCCTATATTTTAACCAGACTGCTGGGTGAATTTTTTTCAAGGTCATTAGCCACGTAATTGCATTATATATAATGGGACTGTACATAATCAGTTCACACTGCTCCTCGAGAATTAGTGTGAAGTCTGACTTACATATTTTGGTGCTCATCATGCTTTTATTACCCTCAGGTACATTACTTACAATATAGTTACACAAACAAATGGTGATCATTGTTCTGCTTACTAAAGGTTCACAACAGACTCCACTTTAGTCCTGCAAAAAGTTCATTCATAAGGAATACCATGGTTTTTTTCGGACTACAAGACGCCCCCCCCCTCCCCGCCCCAGGGAGGAATAATGGTTGTTAATGCTGCTGTTGAGTTCTGTTTACATTTACATGGGTGAAATGTTATGTTATTTATGTTATTCAATATTTTACCACATTTTTTTGCTTCAAAATTTTTTCCCCATTTTCCTCTAAAACCTAAGTGCATCTTATGGTCCGAAAAATACAGTATGTTAGGTGTTAAAAAGGAAACTAACACTGCTAAAGTGTTTCAAAACATTCTGTGGTCTGAGGTATTGCCCTGTTTACTTCTGTACTTTGCCGTGTTTAATGCACACGTTTTTGTCCAAATATTTGAGGGGAAAGAATAATCCCGTGTATAATGCGCACAAAAATGTGGTGTGCATTATACGTGACAGAAGATGGTAATTAGTGTAACGATGTTTTTCTTAATGCATACTGGACAGGTAAATGTCTGCATGGCTCATTATAATTATGAATTACAACAGTCTGGATTATTAGGGTTTATCATTATGGCACATGCCGAAATCTGGCAAATTCCTCAAAGTCCAGTAACGACTAGGAGATGGATAGATATTCTCACTGTTGAAACGTGTTTTCCTTGTCATGGCCCATGTAGCCAATGGCTACCGTCCTCATGAGAAGCCCAGTAGGTTGAATCGATTTTTGTCTTTGCAATGTGTTATATATTGCTTCTGCTTACTCTTTTGTTTTCTAGGCTCATTTTATGGCATCTTTTTAGTACTTTGAAATCAACATGGGCCCACGGCACCATCTGCAGACTCACTGACTTCTGTTAGGCAGATGCTACTTTCGACACACTGCACATTCTCTGCGATACGCGGCGTTTGGAAGCAGAGCGTCTGAATCCAAGCCATTCTCAGTTCCCATTCTCAGTGAGAGATATATAAGAGGATGGTAGCTTCATTTTAGTTTCTATTACAGACCGCACATGGCTTTCCACTGCCCCCCTGCCCCCGCTACCCATTGAAGAGGTGGCTACTTCACCACTCACGTAACACCCAGGCCTGCTCTTGGGGCGCGAACCCTGGGACAGGTTTTACCGTTCTCAGGATAATTCCAGGGTAGAGAAGATGTGTCTTTTATGTCAAGAATGAACTGCGTTACATTTGTGCAAACATACCTTCTCCGGAACTGTGCTTAGCAACACTCCTTAAGTAGTATTAGCAATACTCCTTAAGAGTATTAGCAATACTACTTAAGAGGTCTCCCCTCTCCAAGACAACCATGAAAGGGACAAACTGGCCTTATGGGCCTCCTGATATGATGCACTAAGGAGTGTACAAACTCCCTCATGCTGCTCGGCTCAAAAGGCAGAAGAACCTCAGTGTCATCAGGAAGAAACATCCAAGAAACCCAAATTGGACAAAGTAACTGATCAGTGCTCCTCATAACATGTCACTTTCAGGAGACTAAAATGATGTGACCACTAAGTGCAAAATGGGATCCTGGAGTGGATCCTGTTCTAGAAAAAAAACTGACGTCACAGACACTTCGGGAGACAAGTGGCAACATGTCCATATGGACTGCGATTCAGAGCACTGCAATGAACCAGTGTTGAATTTCCTGAGTTTGTTCATTGCACAATGATTACAAGAAAATGTCCTTGGTCCTAGAAGATACAGACGGAAGCACTTAGGGGTAAATGAGCCTCATTTTGGTCACTGACATTCATGTGGTTCAGAAACAGTGTGTGTGTTGGGGAGAGGACACACACACAGACACTAAAGATAAAGTAAATGTGGTCAAAGGCAAACAACGGGTGAATCGGGTTGCAGGGCATCAAAGAGCTCTTTTACTACGCTTGCAACTTTTTCATAACCATGAAATTATTTCAAAATCCAAAGTAAAACTAAAAAAAAACCACCATGGAATTATTTTAGAAAGCATGGCCATTGGGGTGGGGGGACAGAGATCTCAAAATTAAACAGTTCAAGGAAAGAACGCTGCACTTAATTTACCCCAAACATTCTTATAATGTGGCCCCATTCTCACGTACCTGGACGTAGAGATACTCGAAAGCAACTGGATCTCTCCTTAACAGGTCGATGGGATCCTTGGGGACAAAGCTAATTCGGAAAAGACACCTCATCTTATGGGAGCTGGGTCGCTGTGTGACCTGGAAGAGCAGATCGATGATTAGAGTCCTCAGTGGTGACTGCGAGATGGCTGAGGCACACAGAAGCAAAGGCAACCTTCTTTGAGGAAAGAAATGGTTGAAGCTCTTTTAATATTTGCCATGCATACTCATCCCCTGAAAACCGCCCAGACCTGGTGGCTTAGGCTGAGTTCCCCGGAAGCAGACCCTGACAGCAGGGACTAAGGAAGTGCTCCCAGGAGAGGCCAGCACGGAGGCGGGGCGAGCGGGGCAGGCAGGGGAGGATGCTGAGCAAGTGCGTGGTACCCAGCGGGGCTTGGCCCACAGTCCGTCCCTCGGGGGACTCTGCAGGGTAACCTACACCACAGAGCTGCGGGACCTGAGCCAAAGAAGCACAGACAGGTCCCTGGCTTCCGGCTGTCTCAGGGGGATGTGACTTTCCAGGACGGACAGAATGTGCACTCAGCGTCTGAGAGTGCTTCTGAGGGTGCTGGGTGTTGTTCAGCACACCAAAGCTAGGGTGGGGGTGGCAGCTACAAAAGAGGACAAAGTCTTGATACCATGACACTGCTCAAATCCGATGAAGTTGTGAAGAATACAATACAGATTGCTCAGGTTAAATTAAGGGCCATGGTGCCAGCACAGCATGTGCTAATGACTAGGTGTTAGTTTCTTAACTCCTTTTGTAACAAAAGGTAATCAATCAATGAATAGTAGGTGCTTAGTACACAGTTGAATGAATGAAAACACACTGGACTCTGAGATAGTAGGTAAAACCTCTCCGATAACCCCAAAGAAGCCAACGCGATGAAATGCAGGCCATTGTAGCATGAGCCAGCGTGGCTGTCCTGCTTATAGTTTTTGCATTTGTATGTACTTTTCAAGGCACAAATATGCAGTCTCATGGACTTGTAACTGCTTTTATGCAAGGGACACATCTCGAAAACCAAAAATGCTTGTGAATTGCAATTGCGAAATTCAAAACAATTATAGCACTAGCTTTATCGCGCTGCATGGTGTGTGCATGTGCGTGCGCGTCTATAGGCTTGTAGTGTACACGGCTAACTTCACTGAGTAGAAGAATTTCAATGGGAGAACACACCCTGTTTTGAAAGGTACACTGGGCAGGGTTGCAAAGCAGCGAGCGTGGACCCATGAGACGGAGGGCTGTGGACTGCTCCACCACGGACGACGGTGAAGGAAAGCAGGAAGGAGGAAATAGGAACCTTTGGCCTTTTTTAAAGTCCTGTTGTCACTGACCTCTCCCACGTGAGAGGAACTGGTTGAGGTCCCTTAGACAGCCAACAAAGACTCTGCCGTGTGGAATTACAAGGAAAGTCAGGGCGCAGTGCTGAATTCAACCGCCAAGTAGCCTGCTTGTCTCCCCAGAGAACGGATGGGGGTGGCATCTTGCCCATTAGGACCCGGGACACATTGGTGGATCCCATATTTCCGGCAGGCAGGACTGGGCCAGGGAGTTCAGGCTTCTGAAAGTGTCCGAGGTATATACCCAGAACTTTCCATGGCTAATGTAATTTTCCCTTCATGTAAATAATCCTGGAAACCATTGCCTCTTAATGGTTTCCAGAGATCGATTATGAAAACAGGTGAACACCTCATTAGCATGGCATAAAATATCCCTCTACAGAGCCACATTCTCGAGGAGTGGCTGCTGAGCCTTTGAATGATAAATCTGTTCCTGAGACCAACTGACAGTCTGTGAAAAATGGACAAAAAGGGAAACATCACCTTGAGGTGTAAAATCCATTATTAATGCCAGCGCTCCCTTTAGCAGGGCTACCCAGCGAGGAGGCGAGCACATTTAAAGGGTTTCAGGCTGGGGGGCATTCCGGGGCCAGGCAGTCTCTGCTCACGGCAGCAGCGCAAGCGATCAGGGTCATCTCACTCACCTGAGTCAGGGTCTCCTGTTCGTGCAGCAGCAGCAGCTTGCTTCCGGCCCCTTCGGTCCTCTGCTCCAGCATGAGGGAGAAGTGTTCGATGCCTTTGATGGAGAGCTTCTCTTGAAGAGTTAAGATGACATCCTTGGAGAGGAAACATTGTCAAGATGGAATCAAAACCGAAGGAGCTCTCCTGGGGCGTCTACCATGACTGAGAAGTGTTGCCCACATAGACTTCAGATCTGTAGGTGTTACACTTTGATTGGTTCTGAAGCTCGATGCTCCAAAGATCCAAACAGATATAGGAACGAGGCCTTCTCTTTTACCCTTTTCCTGGCCCACCCAGGAAATCTCTTTGGGGTTCAGGAAGAGGCAACAAAGTGAATAATGGGGGGAGGTGCTTACCTATCAGCTAAGGTTTTAGTGCAGAAAGGTTATTTTTTAAAAGATTTTATTTATTTATTTTTAGAGAGAGGGAAAGGGAGGGAGAAAGAGAGAAGGAGAGAAACATCAACATGTGGTTGCTTCTCAGGTGCCCCCAACCAGGGACCTGGCCCACAACCTAGCCATGTGCCCTGACTGGGAATCGAACTAGCAGCCCCTCGGTTCGCAGGCTGGCATTCAATCCACTGAGCCACACCAGCCAGGGCGCAGAGAGGTTATTAATAGATTGTGCAGTGTGGTCCATTCAGCTCTCCTATTTTCTACATAGGATGGTAATGAAACCACGTCTGAAAATGGTCTACCCCAGGGGTCGGCAAAATGATGCCTGTGTGCCAAATCTGGCCCACCATCTGTTTGTGTGAATAAAGTTTTATTGGCACACAGTCACACGTATCCGTTTATGTGTCATCTCTGGCGGCTTCCCCACTCTGGGTCAGCTGAGTTGAGTAGTTACAAGAGACAGAGTGGCCTTTGAAACGTACTATTCTTGCTCTCTGCCCTTTACAGAAAAAGCTTGCCAACCCCTAGCCTACCGTTTTGTAACGTGGTAATAAGGTATGTGTGGGCTCTGAAAACGGTCTGGTTTCTAACCCCTGCTGTGCCTCATATTAGCTGCGCAGCTTAGAGCAAGTTGTTTAACCTCTAAGTATCTTAGTGTCTCTATCTGTAAACTGGGGATAGTGATAATACTTGCCTCAGAATACATATGAGGACTCAACAAGTTCACACACAGAAAGTGTCTGTTTACAGCACAGTCCGGCACTGAGTTAGGGCACTCTAACAATATGCATACATGAGCTGTTCTTTTAAATCTCTGGGGAAGGTAGAATGAGCAAGCTTCATCAGCAAGCCTTGAAAGGACTAAACATCTGGGATCAGAAAGGTGTTCCAGACACAAACACGTGTTCCCCAGAATGCAAAGCCGTAATGTCTTCCACCGTTACTTTTCTCATGTACTTGAAAAGCGTCAATGATCTCTCTTCAAAATGATTTATACTCAAGTGTTAAACATCCCATAGAGTGCTGAGTGATATTCAATCGGGGCAATTCCCCCCCCCCCCCACCCCCCCACAGCAACACTTGGCAACCTCTGGAGATAGTTTTGGTCGTCACAATGGCATTGAGGAGGCTGGGCATGGAGGGACGCTACTCAGTGTCTTGCCATGTACAAGACAGCCCCGGCAACACAGAATTATCCGGTCTGAAGTATCAACAATGCCAAGATAGAGAAACACTGCCGCACGTTGAATTGTTTGTTCGTTTTCTGATCTTTCCAAGGTTTTGACTGTTCACTGTGTACTTTTTTTCAATGCCTTCAGGCCCCTTTAAAACAAAGATCCCCACCCCTATCCACCCTCCAAATAATCATTCACCAGAAATGCCTTGACTATATTGACTTTCATAAGAAGACTTTCTGTTGCATAATTTTTCGCTCAAGGCCCAGAAAAGAGAAAACAAGACTAATCTTTGTGTAAGAACACACACTTTCTAAAACCTCTTGAATCACCGGGCAGGACACTGGGCAATCCATAGCAACGCTTTGTTCCTATTGCGACTCTGTAGCGAGATTTCTGGCAATTTTTATTAGACAGCGTCACATCCCTCTCATAACTATACCATTTCCACCTTATGCCTACCAGCCCGTGTCTGGTGTGATAATAAGGCTGTTAGGTACAAGATCACTGCAATTCCATGGGAACTTTTTGCATTGCTACCTGTCTTGTCATTGTCGTCTGCCATCTTCAGGGAAATGAAACCCAGTCTAGGGTGGGTTCCTGCCATAAAGAGGGCAGAGGGAATTGTACAACAGGAATCAGTCTCTGCGAAATTCAGATTTATTTCTGTTAAAAAAAGGCATCCAAGTCTTTACCGAGATCTTTGGGTGGGCGTGGGGTGCAATGACAAGAAGCTTTTCTGACCAGCTGATGTCACGGAATAAGGCCATTGCATCTGAGAGATCTGGAATAATGCAGCTCTGTAGATTACGTCAGGTGTCTGCAAACCATGGCCTGTGGGTCAAATCTGGCCATGCCCATTCATTTATATAGTGTCTGTGCAGTGAACAAATTCATTACTCCTGACTCTTGGGAGGTAACTCCTCTAACTGTGGGCTGTTTTGCCTAATAGGAGCAGCTTGGTTTACTTGGGGAGCTGGGGCCACGCCAGAGAGTCCATGCTAACACTGTGGCTTATGCTGGGGATCTTGGGCCGTGTGGGGATCAGCTGCAGCTCCGGAGGGGCTGGATGCTGAGGTCAGCCGCACAGGTGGTCAGCTGTGTCTGTGGAGCCAATGAGCAATGGAAACTGCACGCCAACGCTCAAGTGAGCTTCCCTGGTTGTGGGGGGAGGGACCCTGTGCATGTTGTCACACATCAGGGCCGGGAGAAAACCCCGTATAACTCCACCGGGAGAGGATGGGTGCAAGCTCTATGCCTAATCTCTACTGCCCTATACACGTTTTCCTATTGTTGATTTCAGTGTGTATCCTTTTGCTGTAAAAGACTGGAACTGTGAGCATAACAATTTGCTGAGTTCTGCGAGGTCTCCAAGTGCATTATTGAACTTGAGAGTGGTGTTAAGGAGTCCCTGAACCCACCTTTCTGGGGCTACTGTCCCGATACAGTAGGACAGATGGGTCGTGGCAACAGAGATCAAATGTCTCACAAAGGCCTAAAATATTTACTCTTGAGGCCTTTCCAGAGAAGGTTCGCCAACCCCTAAGTTAGCTGATCAATCATTGGAGTAACATCTCGTTCTCCATTGATTTTGAGTAGGAATAAAGGAAAAGGATGTTTTAAGTCATCACCCTTTAAACTCAGCAATCTTGTCTGAGGGGAGTTCATATTTCATCTGGAATGATTTGAAGATGAGTTAAATGCTCTATCATCAATTTACTCTTATGGTCTGCTCTATTACCTGCTAAATCACAACCTATTTAAAGCAATGCAAAACAAGCTGCTTGCCGGCATCATGATAATAACGCAGTGAGTGGGCTTTGCACAAGCACTTCCACTCATAAGATTTATGCTGATTAATTAAAAAACCCTGAGAATTAGGGTATGGCTATTAATAGACATTTTAAACACACAGCCGATATTCTCCTGATACATTACTGTACAGAACGTCACTGGGTACTTTTTTATTTTACCTCAATAAAATGGCATTTGAAGAAAGCCTCTTTTACGCTGATGGAGCATTAGGGAGCAATCAATTTCTGAATGTGATTTTGTTCAATTAAAAAAAAAGTGTGTAGTTTTTTTTTTCCATAGGAAGGAAGTATGGGGAGAAAAACCGACATGTTTTGTTTTAATCCCAATTATGCAAACTCACCTGTGACTTTGAAATACAGTAGTCCCCCCTTATCTGCAGTTTCGCTTTCCGCGGTTTCAATTACCTGCGGTCAGCTGCAGTCCAAACGTATTGAATAGAAAATTGCACAAATACGGAATTTATAAGTATTGAACTGCATGCTGCTCTGAGTAGTGTGATAAAATCTCGCTCCATCCCACTCGGGATGTGACTCATCCCTTTGTCCGGGGTCTCCACACCATACCCACTCCAACTGTTAGTCACTTAGCAGCCGTCTCAGTTATCACATTGACTGTGGAGGTGTCGCAGTGCTTGTGTTCCGGCCACCCTTATTTGACCTCCTAATGGCCGCAGAGCACAAGACTAGTGATCCTGGCACTTCAGAGAGGCCAAAGGGAAATCATGAAAAGCTTCTTTTCAGTGCAAAGGTGTGCAAGTATAGGAAAAGACAGAGTACCTATAGGGTCCGTTACCATCTGCAGTTTCGGCATCCGCTGGGGAGTCTTTGAAGGTATCCCCCGTGGACAGGGGGGGACTACTGTAATTGAATTGTTTTGTGACTCTTTGTTTTCACCTCTTCTCCTGACATGCGCGCCTCATTTCTGCCCGTTATGCATCACATCATTTCCATGAAAGTGGTTACAGGGATTGAAAGTAAATGTTATTTTTGCATTACCCTACCCCCTCGTTTTTGCTGGACACCAAAGTAGCAGACATTCAATTAACAGCTAACGTATTAATCTTCTGGGTGGCTAACATTGCTGAGACATCACGCTGGCTTTGGGCAGGGTGCCAAGTCTTCTTGGTGACGGTCAGGCTATTTTAATTAATCTGAAGTTGCATTAAAATGACACGCTCTAGTGCTTCTTCACTGATAGCATATTATATAGTTTTGTAGCGTGCACGCGCACACACACACACACAGCAGAACCTTCTTAGTTTATGCTTTTTGTTTGGGTTTGCTTTTAAGTACTCGAACACTACCTATTGGGAAGCACTCGAAAACAGTCTCAGAAATGAACAGTTCGGAAAGGGGATCCTGTGCCACAAGACTCACAGTGCAGCCTTCCCTTCCGCTCTGACAGGGTCAGGGACAGCGCTCAGTGGGCCCTCTTACCTTTATGGAGGTGCTGGAGTCAAAGCGAAATGACTTGGTCTGCCCATTTTCCAGATAGACTTTCAAAACATTTGGCATAAAAAGAAGTGAGTTATCCTTAACAGTTTCCTGTTTGACAACAACAAAAAGAGGGAAGGGTTTTACGTCAGTAGGACTACAATTCTGCTCTTTGCAGCCGCCACACATATCTACAAGGTATTGTAACGCAACATCGAAAACAGAATTGAACTCTCTGAGGCCAGCCAAGGTGTCCCTTCGGTGAGATCCAAGTTCAGTTATTCACAGAGAAATTCTTCTTTTCCAGCCACAGATAAATCAGTTGATTCAAATCAAAGACCAACCTTTGCCCATCAGAAAGTCAATCAGATGAGGTTTTTTAAATTTATTTTTAGAGAGGGAAGGGAGGGAGAAAGAGAGAGAGAGAGAGACATCCATGTGCGGTTGCTGGGGGCCGTGGTCTGCAACCCAGGCATGTGCCCTGACTGGGAATCGAACCTGTGATGCTTTGGTTCGCAGCCCATGCTCAATCCACTGAGCTACGCCAGCCAGGGCTGTGTGTTTTTTTTAAATCAAGGTTTCCCATTGGAAAATACAATGGAAGTGACCCCTTTGTGAAGAAGCCGCAGTGTTTGGGACCACACGCCCGCCCAGACCATAGCAGAGCGGAACGAGCACCAGCTATGGAGATGTTTGATGGGATGCTTGCCAGAGGTAATGACAGGGAATCACAAGTGTTACTCAGCTTTGAGAATAAAGTTATTTTGTGAAACAGTCTTTAGCTCATTAAAGTACATTCCCCAAACTCAAAGGGGATGACATTTAAGGAATGGGTTCATGTACGGATGGAGTGAACACCAAGTCCCTAGCGGACAGATGATAATTTAAAAATAACTCAGAAAGAGGTGTCTGAAACACAACCCAAAGTAAACAAAAGAAACCTACTTCCTGGAGTGTTTTCTCTAACTGGAAGAAGGGAGAGACAAAAGGGGGAGAAAGAAGGCATGTGGGCCAAGTTCCACAATCCTTGCAGTGCACTGCGTTGCTTACACATGTGCTTGCCCATGAAGTCACAGGCGTCCAGGAGAACTCAGCCATCGTGCGACCGTAGTTCCTTGTTTCACAGATGAGGAAACTGAAGATGACATGTTCAGAGACTTGCTAATGTCCTACAGGCAGTCCATGAGGATTCAATCCCTAACTATTTCTTTTTTTTTAAAGATTTTAAAAAAGATTTTATGTATTTCTTTTTAGAGAGGGAAGGGAGGGAGAAAGAGAGAGAAACATCCATGTGCGGTTGCTGGGGGCCTCGGCCTGCAACCCAGGCATGTGCCCTGACTGGGAATCGAACCTGCGATGCTTTGGTTCGCAGCCCGCGTTCAATCCACTGAGCTACGTCAGCCAGTGCCAATCCCTAACTATTTCTGGAACAGGCTTTGTGCCTTTCACTTCCTATTTCTTTCTCTGAGATCCCTTCCTCTCCTTTCTATACTTCACACCCGACTTCTCGGCTACCCAATCCTGTGAGTTCATTTGGCTTCAAGTCGGGAAGACAAGACACACAATGACCCGGAAGAGCAGACCGGAAATGAAGAGGGTCACAAAGCCCGAGGAGCAGACTTGTGACTGAATGTCCCTGCCACACACAGGGCCGTTGTGAGGCAGCAGAGGCTGCACAAGATGATCCGCCCCCCAGACCGCACCAGCTCCCTCACACACCAGCTGCCCAGAATGAGCCCTGTTCTATTCAGGAACATGCTCAAACTGCCATAGCAGCCTCTAGTGTCCCAGTCTCTCTAGAGATGCATAAACTGGTCGCCCAGTCTCATGCCCAGAAGCTTGACCAAAGATGAGGGAAGTTTCACATGGTCTTCTGTGATACTGTGATTCCCTCATGGCTGGAACCTTCCAGCCTTAAGCTGAATGGCCTTGCTCTGAAATGATCGTGTACCGGCAACTCTGCATCCAGAGTGATGGGAACCCGCGGACTGAGCAGAACACACCATAGAGTGAAGCAAGGCAGAGGAGATGGGGAGATAGATGAGTGATTGGTAGGACAAGGCCACGGCTCAATGCTCACAGGGCAGCACAGTAATAGCCTTATGCCTCCTCCTCCCATGAGCATCCCAATAGTATGAGAGATTGGCCAGCCAAGCCCCTGGATTGCAAGCAGGGCAGACCGAGGTCAGCAAGCTTAGTCCAGAAGGTACTTGGACAATGAACGCTTTCCCAAATATGTCTGGGCTTACATCTCCAAACTCAGATCCAGGACCATGCTCAGGAGAGAGTGAGCAAGTCACATCAAGCACGATGCACTGAGATTTCCCCCTTGTGAGCTTATTTAAACAGCACCAACAATGCCCATAAAACCTCAACCAAAAGAAGCTGGCACTTCAAAGGTCCAAAAAGTAATCGTGCCCTAGATGCCAGCTTTCTAAAAACTAAAAACATTCTGCTATATTTTTTGGAGAAAGTTGAAAATAAAGTATCATATTAACGTTTGCACTATTGAAGTTGGAGATCGGTGATGTGTCTGAGCAATCATGATGTCCATCAAGACCTATTGGTGCAAATCTTGGCAGTAGTTTTTCACTTCTGGTTGGATATACGAAGGTTTCCCATCATTTGAACTTCTTCCCGTTTTGATTAGTTGAAAGGATAAAGACATTTTATTTCGGATAAGGAAACACAGTAGTGACAACACAATACCTTTTTCAAAATACACAAGGGGCTGTCATGGAAGGGTGCTTAGTTGGCAGAATAGGAAAAAAAATAAGTGGGAGTTTCAAAGAGGCATATTTTACTCCAAATGGGGCAAAGATAGTGACCTCCAATCAAATGAACCCCTTGGCATAATAGTGAGGTTTCTGACAGTGGAAGCGTTCAGGGACATACTGGACTATTCTGGATTCTGCAACCATTAGAGAGAACACACACATCAGGCACGACCCGGTGACCACTGAAGCCCTTTACAATCCTGAGGTTTGATGCCCTGCTGAAATCCACCACTGATTTCACAATGATCGGTTGACTCGCTCTGAGTCCCAAGCAGACGACTGTCACTCACCGACACCTGGCCGTTGATGATGACCTCCTCGGAGAAGCGCACTTTGACGGGATTGGACTTTAATCTGGCCTTTTTTGCAGCACTAATAAATGCTGATTTGGGCGACTAAAAAAAAGGAAAGAAAGAAAACATGTGATCTGATTATGGGTCACACAACGCAAACCTTGTAACAGTTGTTTTCCGTCTTTATCCTTGCAGCTATATAATATTTTTGAGCATTTGGTACATGGCCAAATCAAGGAGGAAATATGAACTATAGATGTGATCAAAAAACCCTGTCACGCACGTACAGCGATAAGTTGGATTCAGTCACCAGACCAGAACTACAAACAGCATGTTCCACATTCATTTACTTACTTACTTACTTACTTACTTATTTATTTCTAGAGAGGGAAGGGAGATAGAGAGAGAGAGAAACATCAATGTACGGTTGCTGGGGGTCATGGCCTGCAACCCAGGCATGTGCCCTGACTGGGAATCGAACCTGTGACACTAACGTTCTTACTGAGCACATCTCCAAGGACCTTTTTTGCATGACGGCTGTCAGAGTACTTAAATCCCGATTTTAATAGAGACATGATGAGTACGTAGAAGGCGAAGTGGTGGCCAAATGTAATGCTGGGTTTATGATGAGTGGGTCACTAATTACCTTTTTGGATAAGGTGAAGAAGAGCCATGGATAGTTCTAAAATGACTGATCATCTCATTGTTATTCACATTAAGGGCGCATGGCTATGTGAGCAGGCAAGGACACACACACACACTGGCCCATGCTTCATTGCGCCCCAAACTTGAATTTCAGCCTCTTGTTGGTAACCTGTGATCCCATGGTCGTCCTGGGCAGGGTAGAGAGAATCCCTTGACTTAGAATTGCAAGTTGATCTCATATTCTGCCTTTTCTTACAGGCTTTTGGATTGTACTATCTTGTATTGGAAAGAGGGCTGGGAGACTCAGTTCTTCTTCCTCGGAAACCGAAAAGGGAACTGCAATGGGAAATCTTGCTCAGAAGGGTATTGTGATTCGGGGAGATCCCTCACTGCGTGATCTTGGTACATTTACTTCATCTGAGAATCATCCCTGTTGTAGAATTTTAATGAAGTCTGAGGGGAAGGAAATTCACATCGAGTAGGTATCTGCAGCACTTGTTTACTTTTGAAAAGACCTGCATTCTCTATTGAACCTAATAGAGAAGTAAATATTTTGTTTGAATCATGCAATTGCTATTTCATAGATTAAAGTGGTCAAGTATTGGAAACTGCTTATGGTTCAATGTAATGGATTTCATACTGTGTTGTCGTAAGACATTGAGGATGTGGTGTGAAGAATTCCAGTGATTGACTCTAGAATCAACATAGAGGCTCGACCTTCTGTGTATTGTGTTAATCTCAAGGCATAAATGCCAATTAGAGTGTCCCATACTTTGAATTGCAAGTAAAGTGGGGGGAAAAGGATTCTCATCTTTGTCAGTATTATATGATTTCATTCCATTTGTATGAAATATACAGAATAGGCAAATCCATAGAGAAAGAAGTAGATCAGTGGTTGCCAGAGGCTATGGGAGGGGAGAATGAGGAGTGAATATTTAATGGGTCTGGGCTTTCCTTTTGGGGTGATGAAAATTTCTGCAGCTAGATAGTGGCAATGGTTACACAAGATTTTGCATGTAGTTACGTAATGCCACAGATTTGCACACTTTAAAATGCTTAAAATTGTGTATTTATGTTATATGTATATACTAAATAATAAAATAGTTTTACTATAATATAAACCACTATAATGAAGTAAAATCACTGTTGAAAACACAATAAAATATGTGTGGGTAGATTCCTGGGGGGAGTTTTGCTTTAATACTGGGGGAATCCTGTTATTTTGATCAAAGTTCTCCTCCATACCCATCTACCCTTCACTCTGAGCCGTGTCAGAGAACTGGATGGATGGATGGTTTGACCTCCACAGCTTTAACTCCTCCACGTTTGCCAGATGTTTTAAGAGAATGACTTCCCTTCAAACAAAACAAAACAAAAACAAAGCAAGTTCTCTGAATGGCTATTCCTCAAAAATAACAGCTTTGAATAAGCTCAACGTGACTTTCAAAGTCCTACTCGCAGAGCTGAAGCGATGCCATTGGTGTCCTCATCGGCATCTTGGTAATTATAAGCCAAGTCCAGGAATGATGAACAAACAAATCGTATAGTGGTGAGTTCATTTGCTTATGATGTACAATTTCTTAGCTGAAGGGGAAACATTATTCTCCCTTAGTGGTTTTGAGCGGGTGATATTTACACTGGCACAATGAGTTTAGCACGAGTGAAGCGGCTGCAATAAAGCTACCCTGAACAGACAGTGCTAATTAGTTGAGATGTCTGGATATGCAGCGACACTCTACTTGTCTGGCATCATTCGGGAACGAAGGATTTCATATGTGCTCAACATGCCAGAGACTGGGGCTTATTACTCTATGCCTCTGAATTTTTGTAACGTAATGTCTTACCGTATTTTTCCATTTTTTAAAGATTTTATTTATTTATGTTTAGAGAGGGAAGGGAGGGAGAAAGAGAGAGAGAGAGAAACATCCATGTGCGGTTGCTGGGGGCCGTGGCCTGCAACCCAGGCATTTGCCTTGACTGGGAATCGAACCTGCGATGCTTTGGTTCGCAGCTCACACTCAATCCACTGAGCTACGCCAGCCAGGGCAACCATATTTTTCTAAAATGTTCTACATCATTCCTTGCCTCCATAAAAACGTACATGTAATAGAGCTTAACTTTTTAGGCATATCATTTGATGTATAATCTTACAATGCAGTGGTGTTCCCATGGGAGTAGATAGGGTTATTTGCCTCTGGGTAAGTGGCCCCATGTAGCAGAACTTATCAAGATGGGATGCCTCTGTCTTCTCTGTGTAGCCAGAGCATGCCCACTGCTTGTAGCCTCATCCTCACATTCATTCACCACACCCTAAGCAGAAACCTGGTAACATAGGAAAACCAGAAGGCAAACTAGATAGCTAAGGTCATTAAGCAAATGTTATTATACATGAATTTTGAAGTCTAACTAAGAATCTATACCAGTGCCTTTTTCTTGTTCTGGATTTGGGACTATTTTGTATCATGGATGTGCATTTTAAACATTACGTTCTCCATAATAAAAACATAAGCTCTTCACGTCTGAAGGTTACTGAATTAGAAGCAACACAGTCGTGGCTTATCCCAGCGGCTGGAGCTACTTGCGGTCCATGGGAGATGTAAACCAGTCATGCCTGCAGTTTTTACCCAGATCTCCCTTCGTGGCTCAAGAACTACACACCATGCCTACCACCAAAAGACCTGCTAAGGTCATTCTCAGCAATCTGCAGACCTGGTCATAAGCACTTCATCGCCTATGGTACAAAGGACAACTAACTACCATTTAGAATAATCAGATTCTCCTGCTGTTCATTGGTTTTAAGATAAGAAGGCCTCTAATCAATCCCTGAACCCCTTTCCAAATTTGCTTTTGCTAAGGTGGCCATGTTAAATGTGTGCCAAGCTCCTGATGATTTTAGGTGCTCTTAGAAGTCCCTAGAACATAGCTTGAAAACATTACATTAATAAAGATCACTTTCTGCCCTGGCTGGCGTAGCTCAGTGGATTGAGCACACGCTGCGAACCAAAGCATCACAGGTTCGATTCCCAGTCAGGGCACATGCCTGGGTTGCAGGCCACAGCCCCCAACAACTGCACATTGATGTTTCTCTCTCTCTTTTTCTCCCTCCCTTCCCTCTCTAAAATAAATATAAATAAAATCTTTAAAAAATACAAAAAATAAAGATCACTTTCTGAAAGTGAAGTGTAAGATCTTGAACTTGCAATCCCTGTAGCTTTACAGTGCTGCTTGTATAGGAGGCATTGAGAAAATGTTCGTGGATGAGTTAACTATCCCATAGTTACCCCTGGACAACTTAGTTTGGAGTACCCCTAAAACAGCCCCTAACACAAGGATTTACAAGCAGGTAGCTGGTTTGGGAGGTGCTGCCAGGAAGCACAGGTAGGTAAGCGGGGGAAAGGAGAAAGGTAAGTGGGGTAAGCCAATGCAGCTTTTATTGTTAAGTCAGGCACCGCTGTAAATAACTGAAATTTAACCCTCCTGGGAACCTTGGGAAGCAAGGCAGACCACACGCCCCAGAGTTATATTGACCGAGAAGAGGGGAAGCTGGGGCATTTATGCATCAGACCCTGGCAAGCAGTGATGGGATGGCTGCTCTCCTGGGAGGGGTCATTCTTCAAGAGCACTTCCGGTATGCCCCATGAGCATGCCCCTGTGGCCACAAAAAGCCCACAGGCAATGTGTCACTGGTGCTCTCAGTTGGAAACTGGGCTGGCATGCTTGACATGACACATGCGAAGGAAGTACAGTGCCAGTTCTCATAGCACCTGCTACACTGGGGCTTCCATGAGGAAGTCTGTAGCATCCCTCAGGTGCGTAGAACACACTGGAAGACAGGCAGGAAGTGAGAGGCAGGCAAATGGATCCCTTGGCTCTCTGGCCTAGAAGAAACCTGAAGGAATGTGACTCACGGTAGCTCAGGGACATCAGAACTGAAAATGACTTAGCCCAAGTCCCAGAGTTGGGGTTGTGCGAGGGCAGGTTATAGAGACTCTTTAAACACTCCCTGTCTCAGGTAGGGTTGAACTGGGAAGTTCTGGACTTGGGAACTGGGGAAAGGAAAGAAGAAAGAAACTGCACAAGAAAGATCTGTCACGAAACATAGCAACAGTACAAGGAAAGAAGAAATTGCATCAGAACCAAAGAAATAAAATTCATGAGTAGCTCGGAGATTCGCCTTCTAAAATTTCATCCCGAGGAAATACTACTAAATGCGGATTAGGATGTATACACAAAGATGTTCTTTGCAGAATTATTTATAATAGCAAAGCGTTAAAGACATTATGAAGGGCTCAATGATAGGGAGTAGGTTAAGTGAATCTTGGCTCAATGTAATGTTTTATAGTCACGTAGACGATGCTTATAAGCAGAATAAAATTGTACATATACTATGACCGCAGGTGTTGACAAGGTCTAGAGCAAAAGACTGAAGGAAATAGGCTAAAATGTTTACACTGGTGTCTCCGAGGAAAAGGTTGGCTGACACGTATTTTCTGCTTTTCTATTTCCTTCTAGACGTACACAATTTTTTTCCCAAGAAATAAACATGGTGGAGAGAGAGAGCGTGAACCCTCCATATTGCTGAAAAGAGAGGGTAACACCTATTAAGAATTATTTCTCCTGGCTGGCGTAGCTCAGTGGATTGAGCGCGGGCTGCGAACCAAAGTGTCGCAGGTTTGATTCCCAGCCAGGGTACATGGCTGGGTTGCAGGGTGTGACCCCCAGCAACCACACATTGATGTTTTTCTCTCTCTCTCTTTCTCCCTCCCTTCCTTCTCTAAAAATAAATAAATACAATCTTTAAAAAAAAGAATTATTTCTTCTCAAAGAATTTCAGGGATCCTAAGATCTTCTTCCAGGTCCCCTTTGACCTGGGCCTCATTAGAAATGGATGTTTGTGACTGGGGCACGTTGGGGTGCCCTGAGCCCAGGTGGAATACGGCAAGAGAGTGTAACTGTTGGCTCTCTCTCTTAACTGGACCTTATTATGCAGAGGGAATACAACATAAAAATGCTGTCCAGCAAATTGCAAAGAAATTAAAATGCTAATTTTTATTGTCCATCATAAAAATAAAATTTATGGATTTTCTTTTGGTCTGGTGGGTCCTCTGTTTCTCTATGTCAATCCTGATTGCCAAGAGAATGTTTGGAAAATAAATAAAAACCAATTTAAAATATTAGCCCTGGCTGGTGTGGCTTGGTGGATTGAGTGCTGGTGCGAGAACCAAAGGGTCGCTGGTTCGATTCCCAGTCAGGGCACATGCCTGGGTTGCGGGCCAGGTCCCCAGGTGGGGGCATGCAAGAGGCAACCACACATTGATGTTTTCCTCCCTATTTTTCTCCCTCCCTTAAACTCTCTAAAAACAATAAATACATAAATAAAATCTTACAAAGAAACAATTTGCTTGTAGGAAAATCCAAACACAAAAATGGAATAAAAATTTGCAATTTGTCCTTCTCTCATCTGCTTTCCTCTCTACATGTATCTTTTAAATAACTTTGGGATTTTCACTCCTTTATTACAACTCCTACCATTCAGAGGAGAAAAGAACCACCTTGCGCTAGGTCGGTAAGGGAAATCTTTAGGTGGGACAGTGGTTCCCAAGTGATGAAGATTTTCCTTCCCAGGGGACCTCTGGCAATGTCTGGAGACCTTTTTGGTTGTCACAACTAGGGGAGAGTTACTACTGCCATCTAGTGGGTGGAGGCCAGGGTTGCTGCACAGCATCTTAAAGAATACAATACAGCCCCCAGCACAGAGAATTCTCCAGCCCAAACGGGAATGGTGCCAACATTGAAAGACTCTAAGGTAGCATTTAGAATTTGTGCTGAGACTTGAAGGGTGAGAAGGATTCAACTAGGCCGAGGAGGCTGTGGGGTCAAATATGCCGTGGGCATTTCAGGAAGGAGGGCTGGTCAAAGGAAGTCAAAGATGAGGATACTTCGAAATAAGTGTGAGGGGCCAGTGACTCAGAAGAGCAGAGGTACTCTTGCTCTTCTTACGGGCTGTTGGCCATAAGAACATGCAATAGTGGCTCCTAAATGTTGTGGCTAAATGTTGACTTTCAATATAGCACAATAGCAAGCACCACCTGAAGGCTTAGAAAATTCCAGATTACCTGTTAAAAGGAAGTTCCATGACTCACCGAAGGTGATGGCGTTCATATGAATAACAAGTCAAGCAGACTCAAATTGCAAACAGAGCAAGCAAAACAAGTCACAACCCTTAACTGAAATGCAAAACTTGCCTCTCTTTCTCTAAGTTTACTACATGGACCAAAATGTTACCAAACACTGTCCAAATAACCTGGTTTGCAGTCCAATAGTTCTGATCTTGCATTGCTAATAGGTTAAAGTGGGGAGAGAGAACTCAAGCAAGGCAATGTAAACATGAAGTCCCCCCAGGAATTTATAACTGCTCAACCACTTGCTTATTATCGACGTTTACATTGGCATAGCCAAAATGGATTTGTCCACTGCAAAGAAAAGCTGTCTGGATAGATTTGCAGTAAGTGTGAGTGAGATGTTGGTTAATGGAGACAATTAAAAACAGACCACCTCTACTCTCCAGGGAAGGCATCGTGGAAGCAGGACACGGTGGGGCAGGCAGAGAACTTACCTATCTTATTGTTGGGAACTAGATCTCAAATCCTGATTCTCGTACCTCCTGTTGTCTCCTTAGTTTTCAAATCAAAAGGGGTGTGTATGTGTGTGCGTGCGTGCGTGCGTGTGTGTGTGTGCAGTTTAATGAGAGAAATGGGACTAAAAGTAACAGTCAATATTAAGGTGTTTTTTTCTCCTCCGCGGTGTAATTTGTTGTCTCGGTTAATTCTATTCGTGCTCTGATCAGACCGTTGAGTACATGTCATTTCCTGCCTAAAATGCCTAGCCCATAGCGCTTAGGAGGAAAAGTCTGAAGCGAGGAGTTAAAGAGTTTGGTTCGAAGATGGAGGCCGGCAGACACCAGGACATTTCATCGACGTGGCAACCCTCCAACTCTACGGGGGAGACAGTGGAGGCATAACCAGGTAGGAAGCACTGCGCTGCATGTGGAGGCCACACAGGTACCGACAGTCCACGTTTCAGGAAAAATCTGAGGGAATTTGCTTCAGCATTTTTTTCATCCAACTGACAAGGGATGAAATTCACAAGCGATGGCAGATCTATAGACAGTAAATGAACAGTGTCCTGGGTCTGAGGGCGGGAGGGCTTTCATTGTAAGTGGGAATGAGGCACCTCATTGGGGTGGCTGACGTGCTTTCAAACTGGATTGGGGTTAAGGCTGTGTACTTCAGCAAATTTTATAAAGGTCACTGAGTTGCACATTTTTTCTCTTTTATTGAATTTATTGGGGTGATACTGGTGAATACAATTATACAGGTTTCAGGTGTACAGTTCTATGACACATCATCTGTACCCTGCATTGTGTGTTCAGCACCCCAAGTCAAGTCTCCTTAGTGTATTTTTTTAAAGATTTATTTACTGATTTTTAGAGAAGGAAGGGAGGGAGAAAGAGAAAGAGAGAGAAACATCCATGTGCGGTTGCTGGGGGCCGTGGCCTGCAACCCAGGCATGTGCCCTGGCTGGGAATCGAACCTGCAATGCTTTGGTTCACAGCCCGCGCTCAATCCACTGAGCTACACCAGCCAGGGAAAATTGTATTTTTTTTTAAAAATCACAGGAACTGAAGGCAGTATGATTTTAATCATTCCCCACCCTCGTGAGCAAAGCAGTTGCATGAACTTTTCATACCATATTACCTCTAATATCCACCTTTTAAAGCACGTCTCACTGAAATATCTAGTTCTCTACCAAATTATTTAGATGAGAGTGAGAAAAACAATCATGTTTCAGCCTTCTACAATTACACATTCCCGTTAGACTGGCAATTCTTAAGCTGGAAATTTCAAAAAAGTCTTGAGCTTTGTGTGATTTCCGGGTGTCGGAGTTGCCCAGGACTGAGGAGCTGATTTTTAGGATATTTAGGGAATGCGCTACTTTGTCTTGTCTCCAATGACTGGGTGTGCTGTCATTGAGTAGATACAAAATACAAAGAATCGGGATTTTTCAGTTGTGACGGCATGCTATTTTTTTCTCATGATGTCACTGGCCCAGGAGGAGGAGACAGGAGCCAGGGATCATATGATGGCACGTTTACTCACAAGACACTTACAGGGTAAGGCTGAATGACAGTCAGGAGTATCGACTCTTTGCAGCTTCTGTGAAAGAGAAGAACACAAACAGTTATGAAAGGCACAGGGCTGGAATTCCAACAGGGACAGCTGGAAACTCTCGGAAACGTTTCTTATGAAAACGAAACGTGTGAGCTGTTGAATGTCACTAGGGCTCAAAGGGCAAGGAATCCAGCAGCTCTGAAGGCGGCTTTCAGGGAAAACCAAAGTCAAGGCTGCAGCCCGTGTAACGAATGGCCCGGCAAAAGCTTCCCATGCGGTTTGTGCTGGGCTATATGCTATCTGCGATGCGGAACAGCAGGGTCCTAATGTAAAATTCGCCGAGGGGAGATGGGTTTCAGAAGCATCCACGCAGTCTTTTTATACTTTTCACTGCTCTCACCACTGTCTGCTTCGGATTTTCCTTCAGGTACTGAAACCTTTCAGGGTAATTTTCTGTAAGGGGGATAGGGTTTTGAAAATCAATTCATTGAACACCATGTTCTTGGGGTCAGCATCATGCAAGAAAATGTCACTGCAGGTTTTTATGTAAAAACAGCACGGCAGGAAATGACTTCCCACACTGTGTGGCTTACAGCGTGTGCAGGGATGACGCCGAGAACCTTGGGCTGATAAATATTTCAGACAGGCGCTCACTGGGAAATATTTTTCACAATAGGGAACACTTTGTAGCTAAAAGCAGAACAGTGTAATATAATGGTTTATTTAATTTCCTCCGAGTAACCCAAACCTTTCAAATAACTCAAACCCTAGGGGGAAAATCATATTATGGGTTATAATAGTTTTTCTTCCTTCCTTCCTTCGTTCCTTTTTTATCATCAGCAGGAGAAAGGTCACTTGCCACTCGATTGAGGAGGAGCTGACTTTTCCTGCTTTAGGTTGTAATTAATTCCCTGCTTTGGGGATTTATTGCCCAAAGAAATAAAGCGACGGGGATCTGCCACAGGGCTGTTCCCAGGCAGAAGCCACAAGGACGAATCACACTTCCAGCAGCAGCCGCCCCCTGGTTTGGCCTGCTCCTTGCCGGCAGGATTGGATCGCGTTGCACTGTCTTCAGCAGCGGCGGTGGGAGCGGGCCCTGACAGTGGGAATGGGGAGCAGGAGGAGAGAAACCTGTGGACCAGGAACAGCAGGGCTACTGCTCAAGGGACTTGAGAAACTCCTAGAACACTCAGGGTGATGGTGATAGTAGGGAAGGCAGTTCACTCACTGGTGAGTGGCCCACCTGTGCCCATTGAGTTCCCGGTTGCCAGGCATTGGCAGAGAACCACAGCAAATAGGATAGACAGCCAGTGGCCCCATGTGATGGGGTCACAAAGGAGAAATATCAGTGGGTAAGATGCATTACCATGCATTGCCGGTGAGTGTGTCCACACGTGTGTAGCTGCACACAAAACAGTAGGAAGTATGTAACATAATACCATTGAGATGGGCTCAAAATGCCCGCACAAAACAGCAGCAATGTATTTGGAATAATGCAATAGAAATGACAGGATACACACTACGCATGTCGGAATGGTTTCCTCTTGGGGCAGATGGCAGTGAGTGTGAGCATAAATAAATAAAACCAGAGAGGGGCCTTTCACAGGTCCACGATGATAACCATGTATCCCATGAACTTATGAGTTCGATGAATTCAACTCTTTGTACCTGTGATTTCAAAAATACCATAACTTGAACAAAGATGAAATCGGGGGTAGTCACATGTCCGCAAACATATGAACGGTTTAAGGGGAAGTGGCTCTTGGGAGACCTCTAAAGTAATTCCTAATTGTTCACCGAGACAATGGAGAAGTAGCCTCCCAACTCTTCGGGGGCGCCTCCTCACTGAACTACCTCTTTCTTGGTTGATTGAACACAGCCCCTGGACTCCCACCGCTTCCCAGGCAATTGGGAGGAACGACTGTGCAGAAAGCAACACGAACAGAAGCAAAGTACTGCTTCAGAGCCTCCCTGAAGTTTACCGTACTTGTGGGAAGCAAGAAACACCCAGCAGATGAGAAATGGTACCCAGCTCCACGAACTGAAGACTGCGGCAGCCACGGTCATGAGCCCGTTCACCCTGCCTGCTCCCCTCCGCCTAAGGCTGTTCCCGCAGCCCTCGGCGGCAGGCTGAAATGAAGAAATGCTGTATTTTCCCCAAAACATGATGATTTATAAAGATTTCAGCTAATATTGTTTTAAGACTCCCCCAAGTGTATTCCCCTGTGCCCAAGCACACATCAAACTGGAAAACACGTTGATCAGCAACACCTGCCAAACAGGAAGTAGCTGAAGAGCTATTATGTTCTCAATGATGACCACGTGCTGAACATCGTACTGCATATGTTACTGGGGGTGGCACAATTCAAGCCTCCGATAACTCAGTACAGAAGGCACTGTCGTGGCCACTTCAGAGATCAGGTCACTGAGGTTCAGAGAGATCAGTTACGTGGCCCCAGTTCACATTCAGTAACTGGCAGAAGCAGAACATGGACCTGTGCTTTCTGACTCCAAAGCCTGTGTCTGCGTCCTTACGTTGTCCTGTAGAAATTCCGATATGGGTCTAAAAAGCACAGAATTTGCAAGGCACTGGAATGGCATTGTGGCAGCCCTGGTAACACTTCCAAGTGCAGTGAGCATTCTTAGTGCTTAAAAGGAGCTTCCAAAATAAAAAAATAAAAATAAAAGGAGCTTCCGTTTCTCATTCACATTTGGGGCAAATGACATCACCCCACTGGGGTTCACCGTTTTCATCTAGAAGAAGGGGCTTGGACTCGATTAGTGGCTTTCAAACTGTGCTCAGCGCAACCCTCGTCAACCCTCCTAAGAGGGTGCCATGTGCCGCTGGGCTAGCCTGTGTCTTCTCAACCAGAAACCCTCCACTACTTTATGCATGGGGATTGTGGGTTAGGCTTCTACTGAAGAAAGAGATCTGTTGCTAACAGCCAATAGAAAAACCAATGGACAAAATCATTGTTGCTGGTTCATCAAATCCCAATAGGTCTCTGCCTGCACTTCTAAATCGCATTCTGAATTCCCATGAAGGTGGTCCAACAGTCTCTTCTAACCTAAACTTTTTCTCAGTGAAAAGCAAAGATAACAAAGTTTTATTGGATTCGGTTGCTTTTTCATTCTTTATAAGAATGACAACAATATCACCTGCTATTTTATGTTGCAAACGTAGAGCATTTCAGTAACAATCACAACACCCTAGAGGCAGGTAATACTATTGTATTATCCCACTTTTACAGATAAAGGAATGAGGCTCAGCTAGGTTACAGCACTTCTAATAAAGTTGCATGACTAGAAAGTGGCAGTCGTGACTTGCCTGATTGTAGACTTTGGCCTTGGCCAAGGACTTGCTTTGGCCAATGGAAGAGGTAGAGATCAGAGCCTCCTCTTCAAGAGGCTTTGCATGCTCTTGCTTGCCCATGCCTGCTCTGTATCTCCATGTGCATATCATACCCTAGCTAGCACCCTCATCCAGAGATGATGAGGGACCTGCACAGTGGATGTGGCCCTAACCTGCAGCTCTCGCGCTAGCCCAGCCAAGATCATCCTAGCCACCCTAACCAGTTCTCCGACACATGAGGAAGAAATGCTTATTTCCAGACAGAAAAGGATCACTATTATATGATTCCACTTATATAAAATATCTGGAATAGGCAGACTCATAGACACAGAAACTACATTAGAGGTTCCCAGAGACAGAGGGGACGATGGAACAGAGTTTTATCTCTGGGGGGAGCTGGGTACAGAGTTGCTATTTGGGATGATGAAAAAGTTTAGGAAACAGCTAGTGGTAATGGTAGCACAACCCTGTGATTGTAACTAATGCCGTGAACTGTACACTTAAAAGTGGATAGAATGGCAAATTGTATGTTATATATAGTTTACCACCATAATGAAAAAAAGAAATGCTGGTTGTTATAAGCCACTGACACCTTATGGTTATTTGTTCTGAAGCAAGAGCTGACTGATCCAGCCTCTGTCTAATCCAGGGCAGGTATTATACTGAGAGAAGAATGGGGATTTGATGGAAAACTGGATGTGAGCGAGAGAAGAAGAAAGAGGGGACAATGTCACATTCAACATCTGGTCCAGTGAATAAAATCTTTCCAGGTGAAAAATAAATTAGGTAGCAGGTCAAGGAAGCAATTGTTGCAGCAATTAAAAGGGATCGTTTGCAAGTGGCTTATGCCATTTCGAGGTCATCGCCACCAAGGCACTGCTGTCAGGGGGCATGGGAGATGACTAGAGGAATTCAGTGAGCTGGAACCATCTTTCAAACATGAAAACATCTGAAGCCGACACAAATATGGAGCCTGAAATACTGCAAGAGATTAGAAAGAGACAGGTAGTGTCATCTGCCAAGTTGAAGCTTTTAGAAAGAAGAGTTCATATGCCGAGTCAATTCTTTAAAAAAAAAAACCACATGCTTATGCAATTCAAATCAATTTGCCTTGACAGTTGCTTCCATCCCTTTCTTAGTTCAGAAGATACTTATGTGGGATTCTGCTCCCTTTCAGCTCTTGCCTCAGCCCCGCTCACCGGTCCTGCAGTGCTCACAGTATAGGGATTGAATAGATTTTTTAAAAAAAATATTTTATTTATTTATTTTTAGAGAGGGAAGGGAGGGAGAGAGAGAGAGAGAGAGAGAGAGAGAGAGAGAGAGAGAGAGAAACATCAATGTGCGGTTGCTGGAGGTCATAGCCTGCAACCCAGGCATATGCCCTGACCGGGAATCGAATCTGCGACACTTCGGTTCGCAGCCCGCACTCAATCCACTGAGCTACGCCAGCCAGGGTGGGATTGAATAGATTTTTAAACGACAATATTCCACAGACGGCCAGAGACTGTGGGGGAGCATGGGGCACAGTCACACAGGAGAGCTGTTAGTTGAAGCCTTTTGAAATGTATGCTTAGGGGCTGACATTGCGCAAGAAACGAGATGTTTTAAAATCAGTTCCCGACAAAAATCAACTTGGTGTTTTCATATTTAGCATAGTTTTCCAGGCCCGAGGAGCCTTTCAACAAGGACTTGC